GGAGAACAGGCATCCCTCTCATGGGCTGTCATGTTAGAGATACCCTCTTCCTGAAGCCACTGTGGCTGGCTTATGGTCAGTCAGAGCTCAAATAAACGGTGCATCTAACCTTTTGTACACCATGAGCATCTACAGACGCAAGAGGCAGACCTTTTTTGAATTAAATTCAAATTATCGTGGAGATTCACTGGTTAGTATCCCAAAACTGCCAAAAGGCTGTCCAGTGCTGCCTTGGCTTGCCCAAGGATCTTTCTAGAACCTGGATGACTCATTACCAAAATGCGTTGCTTTGGTTCTAGAACGTTCTGTGGTCCACCGTAGTTAAGAAGATTAAAAGGAATAGGAATGGCAGTGGTAAGTGCAGGAACGCTGTTTGGTCTTCACCTCCTTGAGGCAGAGACCACCCCACGTCCGAGGAAACCTAGGCCCCCCGGGGAGCCTGCAGGAGCAGAGGGCTGGTGGGGAGCAGCGGGCACCACACTTGCTTCTCGTGTCCCAGAGGGCAGCAGGGCCAGGGGCTCCGAATCCTTTCCAGTTCCCTCCTCTTCTCTTCGCCTGCCCTATCTCCTTTGTCCCTCCGTCCCTCCCAATCCTGTGCACTGATTTCTCCCTTTCTTGGCCCCTGGCTGGGACTGTAGGATGAGGCACTAGAGCGACTCCACGGGCCCCTGCGCCTCCGGGGCCTCCGTCTCCGCGGTTATGAAACCCAGGGGCAGACACCAGGAGCCTCTGGCTCACGCCTTCTTCTTTCGGGATGCAGTCCTTTTCCCAGGGTCCCTGAAAAGAGGCTCCTTTTCGTTTCCAGGTTTAGCTCAACTTTTGTGCCTCTCCCAAAATTCCTTCCCTGCCTCCCAACCTGCTGCCTCAGCCTCCAAGTCACTGCCTGGGGGAGCAGGAGGTGGGACATCAGAGAGGAGGGGAGAGGGACAGGGCAAGAGGGGGGTGGGAGATCGGTGGATTAGAGGAATGAGAAAACAAAGGAAGGCACCTCTCGGTGTGTTTACTTTCCCGTCTGTGTGTCTCCTCCAGATTATAGGGTCTGGGAGGTCAGGGCCGTGTCTAGTCTGTTGTTTCACCGCCGTCTTTGCAGGGAAGTCTTCGGGCCAGAGGGTGCGCCGTGCCTGTGGGCAGCTGGTTTACATGTTCTTTGTCCCGTTATTATTTCAGAGAAATCACCTTGCCCTGGTTCTCAAGGAGGAAGATGGCAGGGGTCAGGGCGGAGGGGGAGGAGGAGAGGAAGCAGGAGGAGGACTGAGATGCTGGGGCCACCTGCCTCTCCCCCAGGCTGGGCTGGAGACCTCCTCCTGTCCGGTGAATGACCTCAGCCTCCAGGACTGGAGGGGACAGGCCCAGTGGTCCCACTTAGGGAGCTCAGAGGTCACCGATCATGGACCGGTGCCTTTCAGAAGAGGGGGTCTGTGTGGGGGCTAAGAGGGGCATTTTGTGGATGAAGAAGGTTGAGAGAAGTGACTTGCTCTCACAGCTTCAGGATGTGGTCCTGGACAATGCTCCTTCTCCACCCAGACCTGTGCTGGACAGGAAGGTGGGGAGCATTTTATGGTCCAGGAAGGAAGAGCAGGCCGTGCGTGTTCCATCAGGACACGGGCTTTGCACCCTGGCATCATCTCCCGCTGGTTGTGTGACGTTGGGCTGTGTGACCTTCCCAGAGTCCTCTCTATCCACCGTGAATCTCCCATCCAAGTACTAACCAGGCCCGACCCTGCTTAGCTTCCGAGATCAGACGAGATCGGGCGCATTCAGGGTGGTATGGCCGTAGACTCCACCGGGAATCTTAATACCTGCGCTGGTGCTTAGCTACATCACAGGACTGCTGTGTGTCCAGTGGCACGCCTGTGAGGTGCCCACACAGAGCAAGCTCCTTCCCAGACAGGGGCCGTGTGGCACCAGCTGCGTACCAGGCTCCAGGGCGGTGTGGCCTTGTTGATTCAGATCTGTGGACCCAGGGGCATTGCTGCCCGGGGTCGGCAGGAGGGTGGCATGGTGAGCCTCCCCGAGTAGGGAGTTCTTCCCGTGCATTGCACTTCCTTTCCAAAGGAAAGTATTGGCCCTTGAGAAGCACACAGTTCATTTTTGTTGCATCGTGAATAGCTGCCTGTGTTTTTAAGGGTGATTTCATTTCTCCAGCAGCCCTTATAGTTCATTCAGCTTCCTATTGGTGCATCGGACTTTCTCCAGCCCTGCGGCGTGGTGCCGGTGGGAGGGGGGAGGGTCATCAGAAGCCAGGGCCCCGAGAACAACCACCCTCTCATCTGCTTCCATGGACCCAGATGAGGCAGCATGTCCCTAGTCCCCAGGCCCCAGGACAATGGGCTGCTGCCTGGGGCTCCAGGAATGACTTAAAACCTTATGGAAAACACTAGATGAACAAAACCCAACGTCAAATGCAAAAGCCACGCTGAGAATTTACATTTTTCAAATGGCTAGGGGGGAGAGGGAGACAGAAAAAGGAAAGTTCATGACACATGAAAAGTATATGCCTTTCAAATGTCAGTGTCCACATATAAAGTTCAATTGGAGCCGGGACCGGTTTGGCTCAATGGATAGAGTGTCGGCTTGGGGACTGAAGGGTCCTGGGTTCGATTCCGGTCAAGGGCATGTACCTTGGTTGTGGGTATATTCCCAGTAGGGGGTGTGCAAAAGGCAGCTGATCGATGACTCTCTTTCATCGATGTTTCTAACTCTCTATCTCTCTCCCTTCCTCTCTGTACAAAATCAATAAAAAATATATATTTAAAGTTCAATTGGAGCTGTCCCACCACGAACACTAGTCTTGGAAAAAATTGGTGGAGGGTCTGCCCAGGTGCATGCACCCTCCACCTTGTAGTACACCGTTTGTATGAGTTGCCCAACACCTGTAGAGATGAGACTGTGGATTTTTAAACATTCTGAAACTCCTAACTCATTTAGAGGATGCATGTCATCAAGTGTGTCCTCCACCCCTTCCCCGTGGAGACATTATTAATTGATCACCGAAACTGAGAGCTAGATGCCTCCGAGGCAGGAAAGGAAAAAGCCCCGCCCACTCCAGTTTGCGTTATCAGCTCTTCCCTGGACAACTGACCCACTTCGGCAGCTCTCTTGAGCCATTGAGACAAGTCCCAGTGAAAACAGAAACCTAAGGAGATAGCTGCTACAAGTTATAAAGGGAAATTAAAGACTAGATTTAGATTATGAAAAATTTATAAAAGTGACAAATATAAAGAGGAAAGAATGAAAGAAAAGAAAAAAAACAGCCTAAAAGGATAGAATGATAAAAGGTAACACAGGGAAGTATATTTTAAAGGAATTTCAAAAGGTTAAAAATCACTAAATGACCCGAGAGGCTGATTTCTGCTTTTTAAAAATATATATATAAATATATTTTATTGATTTTTTTACAGAGAGAAAGGGAAAGAGATAGAGACCTAGAAACGATAGAAACCTAGAAACATCGATGAAAGAGAAACATCGACCAGCTGCCTCTTGCACACTTCCTACCGGGGATGTGCCTGCAACCAAGGTACATGCCCTTGACCGGAATCGAACCCGGGACCGACGCTCTACCACTGAGCCAAACCGGTTTCGGCTATTTCTGCTTTTTACAGAAATAAAAAACATTAATAAATGAAAAGCTAATATAAATCTGGGGTGAAAATTAAAAGTAAAAATAATTTAAACAACAAAAGGAAGCAAATACATGTAAAAGTTTAAAGGGAGGAATTGAAAGCCAGTAAGACAGGGGAGTTTCAAAGATAAGTAAAGAATAAGTTACTATGAGATAATTAGGTTATATAAAGTGAGGTATCAAAGTAAAAGACAAGAGACTAAGAACTTCCAGAGATAAAAATGGAAACTGATGGAATAATCCAAAGTAGCATAAATGAATCAGGGCAAAGTGTATACTGAAAAGTCCAGAAACTCCAAGCTATGAGCTATTTTTTAAATAAAGAAATATTCTCACTGAAGATGAGAACAACATCTGAGTAAATATCATTTCTACCGCGCTCTGCTGGGCTTTTGCAGGGAAGGGGGTGCATGCTGCTCCTAGCCTCACACCTGTTAATTAGGGATTCTCTGCCCGACCTCAGAATGCACAGCTGAGGTCCTGGTGGGTGCCAGTGAGGTGAGCGGAGGCCACAGCTTTGACCTCCTGGCAGGGTGGAGGGGCGGGGGCGGGGGAGGTTGTTTATCGGGGGGGCTACCCAACTCGGAACTAGGGGAGTCCGGACACTGGTCAAGAGGTGGTTCTGCTGTGCTGATAGTTGCATGAGGTTGAACAACACGTGCTTTTCTCTGCTTCGGTGTCCTTACCGGAGGTACCTACTGACACCTTCCTTCTCCTGTATGGTCCTACCCTCTGCATTAAACAACAACAACAAACAAAAACAAACTCCTAATCAGTAACATTTACTTCTCTTTTTTTAAAAAATATTTTTAAATATATTTTATTGATTTTTTACAGAGAGGGATAGAGAGTTAGAAACATTGATGAGAGAGAATCATCGATCAGCTGCCTCTTGCACACTCCCTACTGGGGGATGTGCCCACAACCAAGTACATGCCCTTGACTGGAATCGAACCTAGGACCTTCCAGTCTGCAGGCCGACGCTCTATCCACTGAGCCAAACCGGTTTTGGCAACATTTACTTCTTAATGAAGTTTAACGAGTGCTGGGCATAACAACTCAGACTCGCTGCACCTGTCCACCTGGTGCTTTTGAACAGGAACTATGTGGTGTTTGTGAATTAAAGGTACACACACATGTAAATTAACACTTTGGCAGGGACGCAAAGCCCAGGCTGAGGCTGCTGGGGAGGGCTGTGGGGAGGTGGGAATATGTCTGCATGAACTAGGGAGGCGGCACTTTACTCTCCCTGACCCCCTCACTCCACGCACCACACCCTCCCCACCCCCCCCCCACCCCCGCAAGCACTGAGCCTCATCTCAACATCCCAGCCTCAACCTCCCGTCTTCCTTCCCCAGGTGGGCCTTGAACCAGGATGGCTGAGCCCCGCCAGGAGTTCAACATGATGGAGGATCATGCTGGGACCTACGGGCTGGGGGACAGGAAGGACCTCCCCTCCCAGGGGGGCTACGCCCTGCTGCAGGACCACGGGGACCACGGCCTGAAAGGTGAGTGCACCCCTTTTCTGCACGGCAGGCCCGGGCCTTGGGAGTCACAGCCAGGCCTCTTGCTTTGGAAAAGGCTGGCAGGAAGGGCTTGCAGCCAGTATTTTTTTTTTTAAAGAAGTTTTAAACACGTTATTGGGTTTGATTGCCAATAGAGAGAAGCCTCATCCTTTGAATGAGCCACGATGACCCAAATGGGACGCTCTTTGGAAAGATACTGTTCCAGAGGAGAGTTTGCCACCTGAGTGGATGCTGTGGGACAGCGCCTGCAGGGCTAGTCAGTCTGAGCAGCACGGGGTGTCTTCAGCCACACCCGGTGACCTACAAACCAGAGCGCTCATTAGCATGCAAATATGTGGCCCTGCCCTTATCTCCATCTCTCCCTCTCGGGCCTGTCTGGGCCCTATTTGGCATGTTGGTTAGCGCTGGGATTCCTACTGTACCTGCGTTAATAAACTGCACCAACCTCTCCGTGTTCTAAAACACGTCTTTTGGGCCCAATTGGCTTGGCCTCCTCCTGTCCCATCCCAAAGGCATACATTTCATTGCACCATCTGGCCACCAAATTCAGGAAGCACGCAGCCTCTCTTCCGCTCCCCAGGCCGGCCCGATTCCCGCCAGGAGCACCACGCTGGCCTCCGTGTGAGAAGGAACCTGCCCCTGCCCTCCGCACCCACTCCTAAGGAGGCAAAATGACAAGCAGCCTACCTCCTGTTTTAGAACTAAACATAATTTAAAAAAAACACTTTGCAGCCTGGGGTGTGGGGCAGCGAATGGAGGCAGTGCAGCTCCTAGCAGGGAAATGACCTTCTCTGGGTGCATCTATCCAGGAGGGCTCCCTGGAGGAGGCAGGCCACCAGGAGGTGCCCAAGTGCAGGAACAACAATCCCTGTCTTGGGAAGGTTTCAGGACTCACTGGGGGGCCTTGTGTCAAAGGCTGGCCTCTGTACGTGTGTAAGCAGAGGACACATTGGAGTCGCAGGAGCTTGGAAATTAGACACGTGGGCTCCATGTTGGAGGAAGTGGAGGGAGAGTGGGCCAGCTGACCCTGGGCTCAGAGGCTGCCCAGCCAGAAAGAGTGATGGCAGGAGAGGGGTTTGGGCGGGGGGAGGAGGGGGGGAATGGGTTCCCAATGAGCCTAGAATTCCTTGCCTGGTGCCTTCTGGCCTCCCTGCAGGCCCCAGCTTGGCCCCAGCCCTCCTTGCTTCGTTTCAGCTCTTGGCGCTCCCTCCTCTGAGGACCTGAGCCCCCACACGCCCTCCGGCCCCCAATCCGCATCCCTCGGCGGAGTCCCCCGGGAGCCTCAGTTATTAAACTCTCCTGGGTGGACTCCAACTTAGAATCACACATACTGAATTTTGCCCCATTTGAATTCTGCCAATGAAAAATGATGCTCTAGATAGGGTTGCCTGGTTTAAAAATTAAGTTAAAAATATAGATTATGTTGCAACAAATGTACCATAATAATGAAGGATGCTGATAATGGGGAAACTGGGGTTGGGGTACACTCTCTGTCCTATCTTTGCAATTTTTCTGTAAATCTAAAGCTATTCTCAAATAAAAAGCTCTTTTTTTTTTTAAGTCCCGGGGCGGGGGGGGGGGGGGGAAGCAGTTTTCACCAGTCTTATTGTTTAAAGGGAAAACTAAATTCAATTTGTACAGGAAGAACCAGCTGACTGAGTTATTTTGTGTCTCAGAGTTGCCCAAAGTATATCCGTTAAAACTACTCCATTCTTTCACATAAAAGAGGATCAAAAGTTCTAGGCCAAAGCAGATATATATATATATATATATATATATATATATATATATATATATATATACACTCACAGCTGACTCTTATACAACTTGGGAGTTTGGGGTGCCAACCCCCCAAGTCATCAAAAATACATTTATAACTTTTGACACACACACACCCCCAAAAAAACTTAATTACTGACAGCCTACTGTTTGACCATAAGCCTTACTGATAACATAAACCGTTGATTAACACCTAGTTTAAGTTCTATGTTACATGCTGTATTCTTCCAATGAAAGGAAGCTGGAGAAAATAAAATGTTACTGCGGAAATCATAAGGAAGAGAGCATACACTTACAGTATTTACTGAAACAAAGCTGCATGTAAGTGGGCCCACACAGTTCCAATCGTGTTGCCTAAGGGTCAGCTTACATGCAAGTTGGAAGCGGCTAACCTTTGTGTCCCTGCCGTGAGAGGGAAGCCTTCGAAGAGAGATTGCTTACCCGAAGAATATACTTGCCAAGGAAGCAAGTCCTACCTAAGAGATTTCCCTCGTTCTCCTCGGGCTTGTTCTGGCCGCTAAGGATTTAGAACGAGTTGTTTTTATATGGGGAGCAAGGGGTATCCCTGGCAGAAGGTGCCACTTGACCTGCGACACTTCAGAGAAGTGACAGAGACTACTTTGGATCATGGCAGGAAACCACATGTGAAATAACGGGCAAAGAGTGTCTAAGCAGGTGCTAAAGGTTGGGAGAGGACTAGATGCAGCCAAAGAGAGCTGCAGAGGGTGCGAATTGGTTAACGGGTCAAATGAGACCCCTTGCTGAATGGAAAGGTGTTTGGTGGGTTAACTGGTTAGACCTTCTAGACAAGATGCTCTAAGAAGCCCTTCCCTTCCTTCAGACTTCCAAGAAACTTAAGGATAATGCAGCTGATCAGGGTTGCAGGCTGAGGACAGACTGGGGGCAGGACTGTTTGGGGACAAGTTGCTAGAGACGGGTCACGCCCAGATGTGCCGGTGCCCTGCCAGTCAAGGCTGCTTCGTAATAACAAGCCTCCGCGGACCGTCTGCATGATGTTTGCAGGTTTTTGCAAGCTCCGGCGGGGACCAGGGAACTGCATCTGCTGGCAGCTTGTTTGGAATTAGCGCCTCTGTGACTGGATGGGCGCAGCCAGGGCTGGTGTCCCCAGATGGTGTTTTAGCAAAGCATCCTGGGTATCTGACCCCATGGTGCACTAGGACCCCACTTGCCTTTTCTCATCTAGGGGTTCTGTTTCGTGCACAGAACCAGCCCCCTGTCAGGAAACCGACCCCACGGCTGCCCCCAGCCTGGTGGAATGGCTCTCCCCGAGGGCCCCAGAGCTTCCTGGCTTCAGGTTCTGAAAGGACAGTTTTATTCTAAGTAACTAAGGCTGGTGAGGCCGCACTTGGAGCTCCTTCCATGAGAGCAGCCGGGCGAAGTCCAGACACCAGTTGTCCAGTTAGAAGTGGACACTGGGTCTGCCCTGAGCTACTTCCTTTCCAAAGGAAGGGGTTGGAGGCTGCGTGTCTGCCAGGGGTTTTCTGCGTGCCCTTCGTGAGTGTCAGAGATCTCCCATGAGTCTCTCCGAGACCCCAGGTCCACGGGCACAGCTTTTCGGTATCTGCTGCCATTTGTCAGGAGAGAGCCCTGCCTCGGCTGCAACCACAAGCTGATTCAAAGGCGCTGTCTCCTCTCGCCAAGACCAGCTGCTCCTCGGCTGTGTCTATGCCTGATCACCCTGGTGTGGGGCACCGTTGTGTTGGGGATGGGGGAGGGGGCAGGTGATCTTATCATGCAGCCAAGGTCCATCCCTCTGGCTTCCATACTGAGTGACTTTTAGCTCCAAAACAAACTGCTCCCGAGTTCCTCCTGAGGCCCAAAGCGGGGGGTGGGAGAGGCGGCCGCTCTGAGGGACTCACTGTGTATGTTCCAGAGCCTCCCCTGCGGACCCCCACCGGTGACAGATCTGAACCCGCGGATGCTAAGAGCACTCTGACCGCCAAAGGTGGGGCCTCCTCCCTCTCCTTGCTCCAGCCAGCCAGCCCCTCCCACGCACCAGCCTGCGCGTCGCCGTGCTTTGCGCCCGTGTGTGCCACCCTCCCTGGCTGCATCGCTGTGCCTCTCCCTCTGGCTGAGAGATGTGCTCGCTCAGTGCTTTGCAGGATGGCTCGGGCGTGGCTCAGGAGCCCTGCTGTGATGCCTTGCTCGCTGGTGCCAGCCGTGGGCACCTTCATCGTGTGGGTGCTTTGAGGCAGCCTCACTTGCAGAGACTGGGGTCTGTGGCAAAGCGGGGCCCAAGCACAACTCCGCAAAGCCCCTGCTTCCTATCAAGTGACCTCCCCAAACTTCGAGAGCCCCGCCCAGCTCCCTCTTTCCTGAGCCACCAGGTCCCAGAGCAGCCCCGTGTGGCTGAGGAAAGGAGGTCCATGCTCGTCGGGACTGGGCTTGGTTCAGTGTCCTTCACCTGTCGGGACTGGGCTTGGTGCAGTGTCCTGCTTTTGAGCAATGGGCTTGGCTGGACCTCGGGACATTGGCCACCATGTGGGTTCCAGCGCATCTTCCGACCTGTTCGCTCTAGACGTTTGCTGTCTAGGTTCCTATGAAGCTCCTCGTGTTTCTCCTGAGGTGCTCCTGGGACAGTGATGTTGACCGCCTTCTCTTGCTCCCCATCTATGTCAGTCAAGACTGAATTTGATTGCAGGTCAAAGAAAACCCAAGGAACTGTGGCAAATACATGAAGAGGTTTATTTGTCTCAGAAAAAGACATCCAGATGTGGGAAGTCCCCGGTCCCATCCACATTCTGCTGTCTTTATCGTCTGCCCTCCCGTACGGGTCTGCCGCCTCGGGGTTACAATATGGTCACTGCACTTCCAAGCATCACATCTGCCTTCAACGCAGAAAGAAAGTAGCAAAGCAAAGGGGCCAGAGGAGCCCTGACATCCAAAGTGTCCTCTTTTAATCAGGAAAGCAAGATTGCTCTGCAAGCCCCACCCCCTGGCCAGCTTCTGCTTGTGTCTCCTTTGTCAGAGCTGAGTCTCATGGCCCAGCCCTGGCTGGGAGGGAGACTGGGCCACCACGTCTTTTGCTTTTCAATAGGAGACGTCAAGAGGCAAGGGAATTGAGAATGGTTTCTGAGTAACCAGTCCGTGTATCTGCACCTCCATCTCTGCCTGCCCCCAAGGAGGCTCCCAGTTCTGTTCTCAGCACCGCTCGGGGCCCTGCCCGTTGCTGTATCTGTGTGTCTCCGGAGGAGAACCTGGCCCCAGCATCCACCTTGGATGAATTCAGAAAGTGCCTGCCCACTGCTTGGTCTCAGGGTGCACGTGTGGAGGACAGGGTGGGCACGGCCCTGCCCCCACCCCCAGGTTCTCAGCCCGGTGACAAGAATACCAGGCCAAATGCTCTTTGCCGTCCTTAGAGCCGGTGATGAAGGGTTACCCTGCCGACCTTGTTAGGACGGCTGCACAAGGTGCCTGCCTCCCTGAGAAAGTCCCGAGACGCTAATGCCAGAACCTCGGCCAGCCTTCCACACCATGGTGTTCAGTGTCCCGTCAACCGTGTCCTGGAAGAATCTTCCAACCAGGTCTTGCTGCACGGTGGACGCTGTGCCTGTGTGGGTCCCAAGAGCTCAGCTCCCAGCCGACAGGGAAGGGGCCATGCTGGGCCAAGATTCTCGGCCTGCTCCCGAGACCATCATGAAAACGGACTCCAGATGTCTCAACTGACCAGGCCATTGGACAGCTTCCAGCCGGGACATTCCCTTATGTCCACCCAGAACCGCCTGGGAGTGTGCCAGGGCAATGCTCGGGGACCAGTGCCGACTCGGAAGCCCTCACCTTAATGAGAGACCGACAGCCACTCCTGGTGGCAGGTCCGCACCTCCGGACTCTGCTCTGAAGGTGGCCCCGCCCCTGTCCTGTGGTCAAGCACCTGCCCCTGGACAGCATGAGCCTGCTCCTCGCTACCCAAGGGGCTCTGTGCTTCTTAACCGGGGGCCATGGCCTCGGGGACAGGGCCAGCTGGAGGAAACCTCGGAGACTACCTGAAGATGATAGTCCCATTTTGCAGATGAGGAAACTGAGGCCCAGCGAGATCAAAGGACTCCCAGCGAAGCCATAGCCCCCATCCCTAACCCCAGCGTTCCTGCCCTGCCTCAGTCCCAGGTCCTCTCCTGCAACACCTTAAGGATCAGGCATCTGAAAAGTCATCTGATTTTCAGCATTTCTTCACCGCCTCTCCCCGGGACGTCCCCCGCGGGCTCGTGCACTGCGCGCTCACACAGGGCGGTCCCTGGCTCTCCTGGCAGAGGGCCTGGGCGTCTCACGGGCCGGTGCCACGTAAGCAGAATATTAATGGCTTCCCGGGAGATGTCAGACAGGGTGGCTCTGGGCCTGCTTTGCGGTGTGGCTTCTCTGCATGCGGCTGAGTTCCCTTCTGCCTCCCCTCCCTGCCCTGCTGCCGCACACGAAGCGAGGTGAGGGGCTTGGCGCGGCTCACCCCGGGCCCCCCAAAGGTGATGTTCAGTGGTTTCCAGACGCGACAGCGCCCCTAGCGGAGGAGGGAGCCCCCGGCAAGCCGGCCGCCGCCGCCGCTCAGCCCCACCCGGAGATCCCAGAAGGAACCACAGGTGAGGGTGACCCAGGGCTGGGCTCCCGGCTGACCTGCTGCAGGAAAGGGTGTGCGTGGGGGGTGCTCACCTCAGAGGGAGGCGGGGATGTGGGCGGACACCGCGCCTGGGACCATCGGGCTGCTCTCAGCCTGACGCCCGGATGTCCTGCTGCCTCCACGGCTGTCTGCCAGCCTCCGGGGAGAGGACCTGGCACTGTCCTTCCCGCTTCCCCTTCCTGTCCTGGTCAGGGTGCGCCGTGGCGGGCTGGCAGCGACCCTCCTTCACCCGGGGCCAGGCCACCCCCCTGCAGACTCTGCCTCAGGGGGTGGTTTGCCACCAGCAGCACCGAGTGGGCAGCCGCCGGGGGCAGGTGGCAGACCCAGGCCTTTGGAGGACACGCCCTGAGGAGTTCAGGGTATAATCAATCCGGCATCCAGTCCTGCGACTCTGCTTTCACACGTGTCTGCACGGAACGGGCATGGCGCCGGCGTCCTGTCCGCGGTGATGGGGAAGAGCTCCGACATCTCGGCACCGACCAGAAATAGCCCTGGACTGGGGGGCCCCAGAGTCACCCGAGAGCTTCCCGGGCCCCGAGGAGGCAGCGGGCACCGCCCAGAGCTGCCGTCATTTCCTTCGCATCCCTCTCCTGGGCCGCGGGGACGCCCCACCGCCCGCCCGCGTGGTGGCGGGGGTGTGCGCGGCAAGCAGCGCAGGAGAGCTCCGGACAGGATCTCCCTCAGTGGAGAGTGGGGACACGTGGGAAGCCACGGCCTCTCAGGCCCCCAAGCTGGGAACCCCGTGCAGGGCCGAGCAGGCCCGCCCTTCCCAGCAGTCTCGGCTTTGGAGTGGGTCCTCTGAGATGGTGGAGGGGGATGTTCTCGAAGCCCGCAGGCCTCATGCTGGACGGTGCAGGTGGTTCAGAGGCCGAGGAAGGACTCATGGGAGGAGTCATGCGTCACCCAGTGTTTGTCCAATGGGGGCCCTTCCCCTGCCCGGGAGGACCACTGTACCCCACTTCCCATCACTCCTAGGAATCAGAACGGTTTTAGTCTCATTAGTCACAAAACACAGTCTGCAAACGCTGACCAGAAGGCCCAGTCCGTGTAAAGGTCAGAGCTCCTTCCAGGTGGCAGCCCTCCCCTCTGGGCTGGGAAGGGGAGGGGGGAGGGGAGGCAGGACGTCTTCCTGGCCGGCACGGCTGAGAGCCGCTGCCTGCATCCTCTCTGCACTATTTAGAGCTGACGCACTCTGTGGGGACCTTTTTTAATTCTTCCAGTCTCCTCTCCCTCCCCCCCACCTGGTCATCCCCCTGAAGGCTCCTCCCTGGCTCTGGATTCAGGCAGACATTCCCTCTCCGCTGCTCCTCGGGGCTGACCATCTACTGCAGCCTCACCTCTGCAGAGGCCACTCGCTCCAGCTGAGGTCCTGCTGGGCATCGTCTAAAGCACCCCCACACGGACGCTGCCCTGAGCTCACAGGAGCTCTCGGGAGACACACGGACATCCTTTGCCCAAACTGTGGGTTGTGGACTGACAGCGGGGCCTCCAGCATATTCCTCGTCCACCCCCCTCCCCCATCCCCAAAAGCAGGGCTGTCCTCTCCCCTCCTCAACTTTCCAAGGTTGCGGCCTGACAGCGTCCGCCATGTCGCTAACCATGGAGGACACTCACCAGGGCTCCCCAAGGGGTGCCTTGAACCCCTTTCCCTGGGACTGAGGTGGGAGGGGTGTCTACACGGCCAACCCCCTCCCCTCCAGTCTGTTCTTCCTAAAGAAAGCTCCTCAAAGATGCCCTCCCTCCATCCTCTCGCCTCCTCAGTGAGGCGGGAGGTGTTAGAGTCTCAGCTGTTTGATTCAGACAATTTGCACCTTCGCTTGGCACCCCAACTGGCAGGCTCCACTTGCTGTATCTTGGTGTCCCCAGAGCGCTTCTCATTTGAGGTCCTATTGGGGTGCAGTGTGGCACTGCAGGCAGTCCTATTGGGGGGGCAGGGAGTCACTGCCTCTTGGGCTTCAGGGATACAGAGAGGCCGTCTAGTGATGTGAGGGCCCAGCCTCGGTCACACGCCCTCCCTCCCTCTCACTTCTCAGAGTCCTCCCTTGCTGGCATTGGAGATTTTCAGAGTTCTCAGCACCCCCAATGTCAAACCAGGGCCAGGGTACCACAGCTCTGCATGGGCACGGGAAAGCTGCCGACCTCCCAGGCCACGATGGCGGCATGCCTCCCGGGTGCTCTGCCTCCCGGATCCGTGCCATTCAGCAGGACTTGCCGTCGCTGAGTTCTCCTTCCATAACCTCCACAGAAACTCGGAGCCAATCTGTGTCTGGAGCTGCGCCACCCGGACAGTATTGTCAGATGACACGGCGTCGCCACCATTAGACCCCACGGCAGCACAGCGTCCGCGTGGGGCCCAGAGGGCGGTTGTCCTACGAGCTGGTAGATGGGGCGTTTCCTGAGCTCCCCGCCGGCCCCCCTCCCCACAGCTGCCCTGAGACAGCTGGTGGCCGGTGTGTACGAGGCCATCCCGGGCCTCTCCGGAGACCAGGGAGTCTTTCCCTCCCCTCCGTGGCGGGCCTGCATGGCCAGGGATGGTAACCTGTCATTTCTGTCTTTGGGGCACAGGCTGAGTCATTGCAGGTGTGGGAGAGAAGGCTGGTGGCCCAGCCAACAGCATACAGGCTTTTCGGGGAGCAGGAGAGAAGGGAAGGCGCTGTCCTGGGCTCCTGAGGCCAGCGCGTGGGAATGGATGGCTGACGGGCCTCAGAGGCTCTTTCCTCTGGACAGTTCCACTCGCTGTCCTGCAGCACCATCCTGATTCATTGTGATGCTGAACTCCGCTCTGCGTTAACTCGTATTGATCTCAGCTCCATTGAGATGTGCAGAAGCCTCTGCTCGGTCTCCTGTGTTTGGACTGAGCTGTGGCTCCCTCAGCAGGAGCCCAAGACATGCCAGAAGCTCTCGCCGGCACTGCTGGCCGCCCTGGAACCAGGACGTGCCTGCTCTGGGCATGCCGTTAAAGGGTTTCCCGTGGTTGGGAGAAAAGAAACCCAACAGCCTGGGGCACCTGCTCTACGCCAGGCGCTTTGCTAAGCACGTTCACACACAGTCTGTGTTAACCCTCACCGCTCTTCTCTAAGAGCAGAACCGGTATCGGTATCGTCACGTTGGGATTCGGAGGAAATGGAGACCCCACGGTTAGGTCCATCATGGCACCTGGGCGTGAATCCCAGCCTGACTCCACCGCCCATGCCTCGCCCTTCCCTCCACCTCTGCCCCGCGCTGGGGCTGGGACCCAACACCCAGACACGGGTACCATGGCCGTGCCCGACGGCAAATTGCTCCTCTGGCCGTGGCCGGTTTGGCTCAGTGGATAGAGCGTCAGCCTGTGGACTCAAGGGTCCCAGGTTCGGTTCCAGTCAAGGGCATGTACCAGTGGGGAGTGTGCAGGAGGCAGCTGATCGATGTTTCTCTCTCCTCGATGTTTCTGGCTCTCTACCTGTCTCCCTTCCTCTCTGTAAAAAAAAAAAAAAAAAAAAAAAAAAAAAAAAAAAATCAATAAAGTATATATTTTTAAAAATTGCTCCTCTGACCTCACCCATCCTGTGTGTCTTTGTCCAGTGGGGCCCTCAGAACCCTGGCCCCTGTGGGAAGGTCTTTCCTGTTGGACGGTGGTCACCTGTGGTCAACATCCCCAGCAATGACATTTTCAGTCAGAGGGACCACCCCTTGGAACTGGTGCCTTCTTTTTTAGCGCTTTCAGAAAACTCCCGGGAGGTGCAGACAGCTTTGTACTCAGCACACAGTAACCGTCTGTGCTTTTGTCTCCTTCGCTTGCCGACACCGAAACCAGCTGAAGAAGCAGGCGTCGGAGACACCCCCAACCTGGAAGACCAAGCGGCTGGACATGTGACTCAAGGTCAGTGGCCGGAACTGCCTGCCAAGCCTTGGGGGTTGGGAGGAGGGAGATGCCAAGCCTCGGATGGACTTGACCCTGAAAAGAGAATTTGGACATGGGCCCTAAATCGCAGGCCCAGCAGATTTTTTTAGGAGGCGGTACTTGTTCAAGTGGGGCTGTGCCGATCTAGAAGGAGCTTGAACGTGTTTTTCCCAGCTACTTCTGAGTCACCGCTGGCGTGTTTAGGGTTCTGAAAAAAAGCTGGCCTTGTCCCACTTGGGGAACAGAGAATGCATATCCAACAGAAACGCAGATATGTGTGACGGCGGTGCTCACTGCAGGCTGTGCTCCCTGCAGGCTGTGCTCCCTGCAGGTCTGTCCCAGCAGCAAGGCCTCCGCCATATCCCCAGCAGCCCGTTCCTTTCCCGTTCTCTTCTGTGCAAACTTCAAACCCTGTTATGGTTTTCTTCTCAGGGACCAAAACTGCCGGGTTCAAGAAAAGCAACTTTCTGTAATCATTTAGCATACATCCTTTAAGAACTTAATTTTTTTTTTTTTAAGTCCTAGAGATTCTTTTTCTTAGGAAACGGAGATCTCTGCTACAACCTGGGCTGGGTTGGTTGGCTATCATCTGCTGCCTAAATAAACTTCAGGGTCTACTGTGTGATGTGGAAGCTTCTAGATTGCAAAATAGCTAGGAACTAGGGGCTCTGGTTTTTTGTTGTTGTTTGTTTGTTTGTTTGTTTGTTTCTCAAGAAAGTGATGTGGGGTTTATCGTAGGGTGAGCACCACCCCTGAGGCCACCCGGCTTCAGGAGTGTCCAACACCAATAGTAGGTGGGGCCTCGGGAGTCACCAGGTCCAAGGTGAGAAAACAGGCCCGCAGAGGGGGTGTTCCCCCAAGCCCCAGCCCCCGCGTTGGTGGCAGGTAGACCAAGAGAGCTTTCATTCCAAACAGACTGAAGCTACGAGGGTGAGCGCAGCGCCTGTGGGCTCAAGACGTGGTTTAAATGTGTGGGTTTTTTTTTTTTCTTTTCTTTTATATTTTATTGATTTTTTACAGAGAGGAAGAGAGAGGGATAGAGAGCTAGAAACGTCGATGAGAGAGAAACGTCGATCAGCTGCCTCTTGCACACCACCCACCAGGGATGTGCCCACAACCAATGTACATGCCCCTGACCGGAATCGAAACTGGGACCTTTCAGTCCGCAGACCGACGCTCTACCACTGAGCTGTCCTTTTCTTATTGTTCCCTCTTAAACAATCAGCGAGCCCTTGCTAACCTTTTGCCACCGCTGCCTCTTCAAACCCAGAGGAATTGAGAGTTCAGGGTCAGCCGAGGGAGGTGCCCAAAAGGCCCCTGGACAGGCTCAGCCTGGACACGGCAGAGAAGCTTCTGGGGTCTCCGTGCTGCCTCGGGGAGAGCAACAGCCAGAAGCCCAAGTCTCTCCCCGTCCTCAGCATCAACCCACGTGCCCACCGCCTCTTCCAACAGGCGGCCTCCAGGAGCCCCTCCCGGAGTGGGGACCAAAGCCAGGGCCCCGGGCGGAGGCGGCCCCGGCGTTCCCGGAGCCCGGCTCCCCCGGGCAGCTGCACACAGAGGTGGTCCAGGAAGGCGTCCTCAGAGAGCCGAGGCGTCATGGAGACGCGGCCACGGGCCCGAGGACCCCGGGTCTGACCCGCCAGCACATGCCCAACCTGCCCGAGGGCCCCAGAGAATCCGCGTACCAGCCCCTGGGGACGGAACCCGAGGACACAGCGGGAAGTCGCCGCGCCCTGGGGCTGCGGGGGCACCAGCCTTTGGGAGGCCTGGGTCAGGAGGGGCATCAGGGCAAAGAGAGGCTGGGGAGCGAGGAGGTCGACGAAGACCGGGACATCGACGAATCCTCGCCCCAGGACTCCCCTCCCTCCCAGGTCTCCCCTCCCTCTCAAGTCTCCCCAGGTCTGCAAAGCTCCCCAACCCAAGGCGGGCCAGCCCCCCAGACAGTTTCCAGAGAAGCCACTGGTACCCCAGGCTTTCCAGCTGAGGGTGCCATGCCCCTCCGTGTGGATTTCCTCCCCAAAGTCTGCACAGAGCCCCAGGCCTCGGAGCCCGAGGGGCCCAGCGCGGGGCCCACGGAAGGGCCGGACGGGCCCCCCGAGTTCACGTTCCACGTGGAAATCAAAGCCAATGTGCAGAAGGCACAGGGAGGCGGCTCCCAGGTGTACGTGGGAGGGGCTGGCGAGGACACAGAGCCCCCGAGCCCCACTGAGGGAGGCGACACCAAAAAGACCGACCTCCGAGAGCCGCCCGAAAAGCAGCCTGCGGCCGGGCTGCCCGGGAAGCCCGCCAGCCGGGTCCCCCAACTCAAAGGTCTGTGCCAAGAGCTCCTCGGCTGCTTCCAGGGAGCCCCGTGCGCCACCCAGGCGGTGGGCACCGCCCCTGAGCTTCTGGCCCCCGCGACTCCTGCCGCTTCTGGGTGCCCACACCCCGCCACGGAGCGGCCGCCTGGGCCCCGCCGCTCACCCTCCCGCGGCCCCTCCTGCCCCCAGGCCCTGGACGCACGCGCCCCCTCACGCTTGCCCGTGTTGTGCATGTCACCGACACCCCCTCCCAGTGCTTCCTGCCCTGTCCGGCCCCCCAGCCACCGGGTTTCTCCACACGGTCCATCGGCCCACAGGCAAGAGGATAGCAGCTGCTTCTACTTGTGAGGGCCCGTCCTGTGCCTTCCATTTATGGCCCAGACCCCTCCCGACCCTCCCACGTGGGTGTCATTAGCCCCACTTGGCAGATGAGGAAACTGAGGCTCAGAGAGGTCAAGTCACCCACGGAAGGTTACCGAGTCCCCAGTGGCCGAGCCAGGTTCAGGAGCCAGGTTCAGAAGCCAGGTGGGCCTGCTCCAAAAGGAAGTGCTTTCTTGTACCCCATAGTGACTTCCAGGCGGTTCCGAAGCGAAGCCCAGAGACGCAGAGGGCAGGAGCTGCCTCCTGCCGCTCTCGCCAGTGGGCAATGATGTGTGTGCGGCAGGTGACACACACAGGCACTTGGAGTGGCCAACAGCCCACGCAGAGCCTCGGACCCAGCGACCCCGCCCCCACTCACCCCGCAGGAGGGACAATGAGCAGGAACAAAGCTTTCCTGTTCAGAGCAGCCCCCTTCTTGAGTCCTAGGAAGCCAGACCACAGGAGCCCTTTGGGGGCTGGGAGATGGGAGGGCGGGGCAGTTCCAAGCGTCCTGTCTCTGTGTCCTGTCAGGGAGGGGACCGTTTACAGCCCACGGCGGCTTCCTGGCCACGTCAGGTGCCTCCACGCATGTAGGGCCCTGAGCTTGTGAGTGTTATTGTCAGGGTTCAGGCATTGATGCTACGTAGGCTGTCAATGGCAAACATCGGTTACATTTTTATTAGAAAACTTGGAAGTGTTGTAGGTGAAGGAAGCTATGTGTTTTTAAAATGTAAAACAGAGGCTGGTGCCATTTTGGAGCCCAGCCCATCTGGTATCCAGATGGGCTAATACATGTCTAATCCCTTAGAATTTAAAACAGAAAAAAGAAAATCCTATGTCCGTTTAAAAATATCCCAAGTCCCAAAAAGTAGGAGGCAAATAAGTGCAGCTTGACTCATGACAACGCCACTTGCTGGAGTCGGTGTTTTGTAGAATCCTGGTCCACTGGATGCCCACTGGTCCAGGTCCACGGTCCAGTGAGCTTAGACTAAACCAAGTTAAACAGGGTTTGCTGGTGCAGGACGTGTCCGCGTCTTTAGTAATCTAATGCACATGTTGACCCTCTGAGAAGGACCCAGAGGATGAATTCCCCAAAATTATTTGATCTCATCTGCTTCCATCTCCTGGGAAATGCTGACTTAGCAGACACCTTGGTTGTGACATGCATGATGGCCGACTTGGGCAAAGGCTGTGCACCAGGTCCTGGGCCCTGGCTAAGAGTCTCAGGAACCTGCATTTTCATAGCCTCTCCTGGTGGTTCATCACAGTCAAGTCTGAAAGCCTCTGGCCACTCTAAAAATCCAGCGTCTGGTAGCCAGTGAGCAGCTCCAAGAGGCCCCATTATCCTCGGGGCAAGGGGGCTACAATTATTGAAATCAAAGACAAATCTATAATCAATCTTCAACAATGAATGGCAACAAAAGAAGGTCAGGCAGAGGTGTCCCTGGTAGACCAGGAGACTGGTTTTTCACCAAGGGGTGTGGCTTTCTAAGCACAAAAGCGGTCAATGGTTTAGTCCTAAAGTCCAGAGGTCATCGGTAGAATGCTTAATGGTAACCGGTCATTAGCTAATTTGGGGAGATGCAAGGGTTAACCCCGAGGGAGAGCCACCCGGTGGTGAGCAGACCCTCCAGGGCTGGGTCGGGGGCGGGTGGGGCTCACTGGAGAGCAGCTGGGGCTGGGGCCCAAAGCCCCCATCAGTGAGGGGCTGGCTCTGGGGAGACAGCTCCTTCACCCTGCCCCTGGGGTGACAGCATGAGCAGGGTCCTGCAGGGGCCAGAGCCTGGCTGAGCGGCCCCATCTGCGGCCCCAGGACTTTCAAGAGCCCCTCCTTGGGGAGGAGTGGGCCCAACTGCGGGGAAGACTGGCCCAGGCAGAGGCAGGAAGGGAGCCCGTGAGAGGCAGGGCCTGCCTTCCCTGTGCCAACGCCTGCCCGGAAGCTGCCTCTGCGTCCCCTCTGCATGTCCCCACCCTCGGCCAGCCTGCTGCCCCCCATCAGGGTACTCCAAGCCACTACCCCAGCGTGCTGCGTTGATACTAACGGCGAGAGGCCTCACAGGCTCCAGGGGAACGAAAATCAGTGGTTCCCACCGAGCCCGCCCACACCGAGCACGTGGCCCTCCCCTGAGACACCCTCCCAGCGGCCCCGAGCTCCGTCCTGGCGCCCTGCACACGGGCGTAACGTCCGTTCTCCTTTTATATCCCATCAGCTCGCATGGTCAGCAAAGGCAGAGACGGGGCCGGAGCCGACGACAAGAAAGTCAAGGTAAGCTGCTGAAACCTCGGACTGTCTGCCGCCGTCGAGGCTGCCAAGGAGCCGGTCTTTGTGTCTGAATTAACTTTTATGTACAATGTGTCTGTACACGTGCCACTGAGGCACAACCACCGTCCCCGGGGCTTGTTTCCATGCCGACGTAAAACCCCAGCACTCAGCCGTGTGCTGCGTGTGCCAGGGCAGGGCAGTGGGCAGGCCCGGGAGCTCGGGCTCCTGGTGCCGTCCCGTTAGCCGAGTTTAAAGGAGGTGTTCACGGTACGTGAAGGTACGTTTGACTTCCCTGGAGGTTGCACATCTCACACTTCTCGCTGCAGGTCTGGGCTCAAAAAAAATTGGATGCACACGCACACCGGCTTAAGATATATAGAAACATACCATTTCCTTAGGGCCATGGTCGGCAAACCGCGGCTCGAGAGCCGCATGCGGCTCTTTGGCCCCTTGAGTGTGGCTCTTCCACAAAATACCACGGCCTGGGGCGAGTCTATTTTGAAGAAGTTTAAGTTTAAAAAATGCGGCTCTCCAAAGAAATTTCAATCGTTGCACGGTTGGTGTTTGGCTCTGAGTTTGCCGGCCACGGCCTTAGGCGGGTGAGGGAGTGTTGAGCAAGGAAGGACATGATCCCTAGGCGAGCAGCCTACAAAGGAGGGCCGGCGAGGGCGGGTGGGAAAGGCGTTCCAAGGCAGCAACCGCACAGCAAGGACTGGGAAGAGGGGCCTCGCGCCGTCCAGGAACGCTGAGTGCTGGGCTGGGTGGCCGCAGAGCTGGAGGGGGTGGGCGCCTGGCGGAGGAGGGAGCCTCGGCTCACGCCTTGCATGCTAAGTGGACAAGTGTGGCGGCCGTGGTGCAGTCGATGCCGGCTTCACATCGTGCCAAGGCGGCGATTTGACCATGGGCTGTGGCCAGTCTTCAGAAGGGACCCCGGGATCAGTAAGCGAAGCAGCCTGTCCCCCGCCACCCCGCACCCCCCGACCAGCACTGCACCCAGGACCTCCCATCGGCTGGAGTCAGTCCCCTCAGTGGCTTTGGCTCCTGTGACTGCACAGGAGTGTTGTCCCAGGAGAACCCCACTGTGGCCCCAGACGAAGACCTGTTTTTCTTAAAGGTGCCTTCAATGCTCGTCACCAATTCCGCCTGGAAGGTCTGGGCCTTCATCGGCCCCGGAGCCCTGAGGGAGCCCCAGGGGCAAAAGGCTAGGGTGTTGAGGGCCACGCCCCAGACCGCTGTCCTGTATAAGTCAGGGCTCCCCATCCCAAGACCCCGGGAGTCAGCGGAGGGTCCTGCAGAGAGTTGGGGGACCAGGCTCTGCCCTTGGTGCTTGAAGCAGTGGCCACAGCTGCTTGCCAACCATGATGCACATTTAGGGGAACCCCAGCCTCATGCATTCGTTCATTCATGCATTCGTTCATTCATGCATTCATTCATACATTCACTCCCACACATAGTGCCACGTCCTGCCCTCGACTTGCTCACAGTGAGGGGTCAGGCCTCTCAGAAACCGCGTAGGGAGCGCTGCCTTGTCACCTGGGAAAGGAGGCATTGCCAATCCCCACCCCCAGCTTTTCTCCCTTTCTGCCAGCCCCAGGACCTCAGCTGGCATCCCTCCACTCACCCTCCTCCTCCTTCCCGTGGCCGTCCTCCTCTCTGAGGCTGGCACAGAGAGGGCCTCGGTCACTTCCGTGGGGAATGCCAGGGCAATGAGGAACAAACCCGAGAGACCAGATAAAGCCTCCAGTCAGGACCTGCCCTGTGGTCGCTCAGTCCTACCTCCCGACGGGGTTCCCTAGGGCTTAGTCCTGAAAGTGTGGCCCCTCCTCTCCCAGGGCCACACATCCCGGTTAGAGTCCCCTCGTGGCATGAGGGCAAACCACAGGTGCCAGCCACACAGCCGTCCAGTGCAGCTGCCCCTGAGGCCATCCGGCTCCCCGACACCTGTCCCCCTGGCCGCCCGCCCCACCCGGGCCTTTCCTTAAGTGGGCCGAGATCCGGAGGAAACACAGGCCAGATTAGTGTTCACCAGACCGTGTTCAGTTCTCTTCTAGATTTTATTGAGAGAGAGAGAGAGAGAGAGAGAGAGAGAGAGAGAGAGAGAGAGAGCGCGCTAAGTGGTGTCGGCAGAACCTCTGAGACTGAGAACTGGCCCAGCCCCAACTGTAGCGGTACCAGCCTGTCAGTGAGGGGAGGGCGCGGGTGAGCAGGCCAGCTCGGCTCCGCACCCGGAATTGGGCAGAAGGCGAGATGTCAGACGCTCGACACGCTGCAGAAGTTTTATTGAGGAACATCCCGGACTCATCTACTTTGGGGATCTCCACCAACTCTTTGGCCATGAAACACCATAAATAAATCAAAAAAGTCTCCAAAGTGGGGATGGTGTGGGGGGTGGGACGGGCACCAGGAAATCCAATGGGATCCAGACAGAACGTGCTAGGACTTCTCTTCATTTCCACCTTCTCTTTCGAAAGTTCTGTCACATGTGCGTTCTGCAACGCACTGCACACCTGGCTGACCGAGCCCGTGCGGGCCGGTGGCGGCTGCCCAGGGTGCGCGATCCAGACGGGCGGAGCTCCCCGCCGTAGCCGTCCCCACCCTCGTTCGTTTGTGTTACCATCCTTTTTCCGTTTGTTCCCCTCCCCCGTGTGCTGACTTTCATTTTGATTTTGTTTATGTTTATGTTTATGTTGAAGACACCCACACCTTCCTCTGCTAAAACCCCGAACGGTAGGCCCTGCCTTAGCCCCAAAGGCCCCCCTCCTGGTAGCTCAGACCCTCTGATCAAACCCTCCAGCCCTGCCGCGCGCCCAGAGCCATCCTCCTCTCCCAAACGCGTCTCTTCCGTCACGCCCCGAACCCGCGGGTCTGGAGCAAAGGAGATGAAAGCCAAGGTAAGGGAAAACGCCTCCACCGAGAACCAGGCTGCTCCCGTGTGGTTCTCCCGGGTGTGTTTCTTTCCAGAGCTAGAAAAACCTAGACGTACCGCACAGAACCGTTGAAATAGGGATGGGGCCTGGGTGCCATCCTTCTCCTCGCCCTAGTGCCTCCTAGCAGCAGCCCCAGGCACCCGCAGGGACCCTGCCATGAAGTCGCTGCCCTCGGGGGGCGGCCCTGCCCACCCCGGGCTTTGGGAACTGGAGTGCTTCCAGATTGCCCCCTCTGGTTGGCTGCCAGCTCGCTGGGCAGCATCGCTGGACCACCGTTAGGTCCTTGGGGAATGCCAGTGTCTTTTCCGAGTTATGTGTCAGGGTCATCGACGGGGTAACCAAGCCCGGGCACTGCCAGCTGGCTGAGCCGGTGCCCTGCCCCACCTCCAGCCGGTTTGCTCATCGACGCTGTGTCCGCCCACCGTGGGCTCTCAGCGCACCTACGGAGTCGCTGAAACCCAGGGTTTGGGGAGAGAAAAGCGTACGACTTAGCTCAGAGCATTCTCGGTCAAGTTCAGCACACAGGGTGCTCACGGGCCTCTGGTGAGACCAGCCACCCCAGTCAGATCCCCGAGGAGAGGCAGGGCACGATGTCCACAGGGCACCGTCTGGTGTCCTGCCGGTTGCAGCCCTGGTGGAGAGTGAACCTGAGTGTCGCTGTCAGCTCCACTGCCTTTCTTTTTTTCTTTTTTCTTTTTTCTTTAATATATTTTATTGGTTTTTCAGAGAGGAAGAGAGAGGGATAGAGAGTTAGAAACGTCGATGAGAGAGAATCATCCATCAGCTGCCTCCTGCACACCCCCTACTGGGGATGTGCCCGCAATCAAGGTACATGCCCCTGACCGGAATCGAACCCGGGACCTTTCAGTCCGCAGGCCGAAGCTCTATCCACTGAGCCAAACCGGTTTGGGCTCCACTGCCTTCCATGCCACACGCCAGCACAGCTCCCGCCGGGAGCTCCCGTGGCCGTTCCTCCAGAGGAAACAGTGCTCGGAGCCTGGCGTTTGGGTGGGGCTGTGTGCCCAGCCAGCGCCTGTGATGGTAGAGGCGTTCATTGCATCGTGTGGGCAACGGGTCACCCCACACGTGGCCTCATTTAGAACTGAAGTGGTCTTAAGGGGCATCGACTCCCGGTCACAATGGCCTCTCCCAGCCGTAAACGCCACTCTAACCTGCTTCGTTACAGGGGGCAGATACTAAACCGGGAACCAAGATCGCCACGCCCCGGGGAGCGGCCCCTCCAGGCCAGAAAGGCCCGGCCAATGCCACCAGGATCCCAGCGAAAACCACGCCGTCCCCAAAGACCCCACCGGGCACGGGTAAGAACCTTCCCCTGGAGCCCAACCCTCGTCCCCAAAGGCCCTGACCGGTCATGGCTCCGGCTGGCGCCTCGGTGCCTTCTGCAAGCTGGTTTGGTTTCCCGTGCAATGTTTTCTCGTGTGTGTGCTCCTATGCTGAGTGGGGAGGGATTGTGCCTGGACTCTGCACGTGGCTTGGGTCCCACTGTCACCTCACACGAGGCCATCGGCTCACACGACTGGAAGCAGGAACGTACGTCTCCCCTGGGCGCTCCCCTGCTCTCAGGTGGCCTTCTGCAGGCAGACAGAGCACCCCGGGGCCCTTGACCTTGTGTCCTGACAGACAGGCCTGCTCCCGGGACGCCTTCCCTGCCTCCCGCCTCAGCCGGGGCCGGCGGGGCGCCCCCGGCCTGGAGGAGAACTGGCCCCTCCGGCCCTGTCCCCGCGGATTGTAATGGGGTTTCTGTGGGCTTTTCTCTTAAGCCGCTGCCACGCCAGTGCAGAGAGACCACCCCCCGCGGGGCCCAAACCTGAGCCGGGTAACGCCTGCTGGGCCAGGGGTCGCCCCTCGGTGCGGGGCTGTTTGCCGGCTGAGGTGTGAGAGCTGGGCCTGCTTCCGGGCCTCGGTGTCACTCGCGGAGCCGAACGGGGCGGTGGGCTTCCTGCCTCCGCTGAGTGTGGTCTGACGAGCCGCGTGTCTGACCGTGTGTGTTCCGTGCCCGCCACGGAGGGCGGGCTGGGGGCGGAGCGGGCGCGGAGCCGCCTGCGTGTGACACTCCCTCTGGCGTTTATTGCACGAGGTCTGCACAGCCTGGGAGGTCGGGCCTCTCCGCTCTGGACGCTTCTACCTGTCACCACCTCTAGGCTTCAAACCACAGCCCTGGGGCTGTGCCCACGTCCCCCCTTTCCAGATGGGGACACAGGCTCAGGGGTCACACCCCAGAGGAGATGGCACAGGAAGGGTCTGAAGCCAGCGCCAAGCCTGGCTCTGTGCCTGGAGGCAGGAGGGCAGAGGGGGCGGGTGGGGTGGGGATGAGCCCAGAGGCAGGGGGGGAGGGTATTAGGTGGAAGAGGAGAAAAGGCTTAATTGTCCTGTTGCCACAGGAACTTGATGACTTTAGGGTTAAACAAACACTCACACTCTAAGAAGGACCTGCTTCCTCTCCCCTGGACGCGGCCTCAGAGCGGAGGGAAGCGAAGCCTCGGCCCCTGGGGCACAGCACGGGGCCCAGCGGCTCTCAGGCCGTCTGCTCCAGATCCGCAGGGGAGCCTGGGAGGACAGCCTGCAGGCCCCACCCCTGGAAATTCTATAAGATGCCCGGGAATCTGCATCCTACAGCTCCCACTCCCCCTCACAGGTCTGGGACTCTGACGCAGAGTCCCTGGGCCACACTAGGAGAACCACTGAACCACCGGGGGGGGGGGGGGGGGGGGAGCAGCAAACGACTGGAGGGCAGTGGGGGGCGGGGTGCAGGGTGCGGGGTGCAGGTCAGGGAGCCCCAGGCAGCGGCCCCCAGAGGGAGGGCGGTCCCAGCAGCCTTCCCGGAGGGTGTGACAGGCGTACTGGCATCTGCCCTGCATCGTGGGGAAGGGCAGGAATGGCAGGGCCGGGCCCGGGCCTGGGCATGGCTTGTTGGGAGGGCGAGGGACAGGTGGGCACGACGCAGGCATAGCGTCTGCAGCTGGGAAGGCTGGGGTGGGCTGGCGGGAGAGGGGCCTTGACCTTGCTGAGCAGCTTAACGCTCCCCCTGCAGAGAGAGGGTCTCAGGGCCCAGAGGAGGTGGCCCTGGTCCTGCCCTGGGTCCGGGCAAAGGCCGCCTGGGGTCACACTGGGGTCGCACTGGGGTCGCACTGGGGTCACACATGGCCGCCCGGCTCCTCGCGGCGGGCTGATCCCTGTGCTGGGTGTGAGGCGAGGCCCCTGCGCTCAGACAGGGGCCCCGGCTTGTCGGAGACCACGCGCCGCTGGATCCCACCTCTCGACCCCAGGGCCCGGGGCAGAGTCGGCTCCCGCTCGGGAAGGGTACTGTCTCCCGCCCCAGCGACAGGCCCGGCGGGAAGGAGTCGGCGAGCTCCAGGGCCGCCTGCCCGGCTCCGGCCGCTCCCACCTGCCTGGGCCACGTGGCGCCGCTCCGAGCTCCGGCCTCACTGCCCCTCTCTTCCAGGCGAACCTGGGAAGTCGGGGGATCGCAGCGGCTACAGCAGCCCCGGCTCCCCGGGCACCCCCGGCAGCCGCTCCCGCACCCCGTCCCTGCCCACCCCGCCCACCCGGGAGCCCAAGAAGGTGGCCGTGGTCCGCACGCCGCCCAAGTCGCCGTCCTCCGCCAAGAGCCGCCTGCAGACCGCCCCGGTGCCCATGCCCGACCTCAAGAACGTCCGCTCCAAGATCGGCTCCACCGAGAACCTGAAGCACCAGCCGGGCGGCGGGAAGGTAAGGGCTGCGGGGCCGCCCCCCCAAAGACAGCGGGGTCACCTCGAAGCCACGAGGGCCTGCGTGGGGGGAGAAAGGGCGGTTCTTCCCCCCATGTCAGCCCCGGCTCGCCCGAGGACAGTGATCTCTGTGGCCCGGGGTCCGTGAAGAGGGGTGCCCAGAGGCCCGCCCCGGGCGGGTCGGTAGGTGGGTGGCCGGCGTTTGTGGGGCGTTCGCTGAGGTCAGGCTTCTCTCTGCCTCCAGCTCTGGGGGAGTCTGGGTTCCATTCGGAGCGGATTCCTCCGGGGGCAGGTGGGCGCTCATGGAACGTTGGGGTTCCCTGAAGGTGGGGGCCGTGAGCATCGAGGGCCTGGGGTGGAGGGAGGAGAGGCTGGCCTGGGCCCTGCCTCCAGGTTTCCTGGGCCTGGCCCGAGAGGTACCACGCCCGGAACCCGTCTCCTCCCAGCGCCCGGCCAGGGGCCCGAGACCGAGACGGGACGGCCAAGGCCTCCCTCCTGGACTGGAGGCCGCACTCCCTCCTCGCGTGCTCCGTCTCGTCCTCCCCCCGGCCCCCTCCCCTCCCCCCGTAAGCACACCGGGCACGGAGGGGAGGGCTCCCCTGCGGAGCTGCTCTCACAGAACACCCGCTCGGCCCGGTTCCACCTGCAGCCGCGGGCGGGCCTGGGGGTGCGGGCCTGAGGTGTGCACGGTGGGCACACAGAGCCGCCCTCCCCGCCCGCCACAGGGGGCACGGGGAGGGAGAAGAGGGGGGTGTGGGGTACCGAGGACCAAGGCTCTGCTCTGGAGGCCACGGGTGTGTGGTGGGCGTTGGGCTGGGCCTCTGGGGGCCGTGAGCCTCCTGGTGGCGGGCGACTTACAGAACCTTCCTGGTGGGACAGCAGGACTCCCCCTGGCGCCCTCCGCACTGTTGATGACTCTGGGCCAGGCCCTGGGCGTCCCTGGAAGAAGGCACCTCGGAGGCCCGTGTGGGTGCCTTACGGAAACCCCGCGGGCCCGTCCCAGCCCGGGGCCTCCCCTGCCGGCCGGGCGGGGGTCCAGGTGCCTCTCAGGGAGCCGCCTTGGACCCCAGAGAGGCCCTGGGCCGCGTTCACTGCCCGCGCTGTCGGCCGTGCGCCTCCCCCCAGAAGGCGGGGACAGCTGGGGGTGCCGGTGAGGCTGGCCCTCCTGGGAGGTTTCGGGGCAGAGGGGGCTCCAGGGACTTGGTCTGTAAGACGGTGGGACCCTCCCGCCGGGGTCCCTCTGTTTTCATAGCAGGGGGACCGTTTGCCCGTTTGGAAAAATGAGAAGCAACCCTTCCACCGCCCCACCCCCCCTGACCACCCACTGCCAGTTTGCACCTGGGGGAGACGCTGCAGCTGTGACCAGCCGCCCGGAGGCACCGAGCCCTGAGCTCCCAGCCCGCGGGGCTGTCACACACCAGCGACACCCGTGTCCTCCTGCCACCCCAGGGTCAGCTGAGGCTGGCTTGGAAGGGCTGGGCACCTTTGGCCCAGTTCTGGCAGCTCCGCTGAGTGGCAGGGCTGGTGGAGGGGACTGGCAGGGAGAGGAGGCTGGGAGCCGGGCCGGGCCGGGCCTGAGGCTCAGAGGGGAAGGGAAGGGGCCCCAGGCCACCACCTCTCCGGGCTGGGCCCCCATGCCCTCCTCCCCTGACGGAGAACGGGGACCTTTCTCAGGGCCTCTCAGGGCGGGAGGAGTGAGAAAGCGCAGAGGGAGGGGCGACAGCCGTCCTCAATCCCATAGAAAGCCCAGACCATTGTCTGAACCAAAGACAGGCAATGCCACCGCTGCAGAGAGCACTGCCGGTCTCAGGGGGACGGGAACGGGGAAGGGAGCTGCTTGCGTCCATGGAGAAGGCTTGTAAAGGAGCCCTGTCCTCCGTCCGGCCTGGGCCGGCGTTCCTGGAGGCGGCGCTCAGACCTTCGTGGGCTGTGGCCGGTGCGGAGCCCGCGGTGAGGGTGTGTGGGCCATGCACTCAGCGAAGGGGCGCCCCGCTCCCTGGATGGAGGCCCCAGGAAGAAGGGAGAGCAGCCGGCCTGGCAACCTGCAGACCGAGAACCTGGGCCTTCCTGCTTTTGTCATTTGCTGCAATGATGGGGCGCAGCTTGCAGAGTCCAAAACGGAATTCTTAACTTTGAAAGGAGAGTGCGGAAGCACCACTTGTTCCCTCCACAGAACCAGAGACAGATGGAGCCCAGGCCGGCGAGGCCGGCAGCTGCGGGTCCTTGGGAGCTGGGAGCTCTCCTTCCCCACCCGCTGCCAAGGAGGATCACCTGGGGCAGGGGCGGGGGGGGGGGTGTCTCTTACAAATCCTGACAAAGCCGGAGCCTTTCCCGGGTTCGTGAGAACCTCAGGGGGCTCCCAGGTGTTCCGACGTGTAGTCCAGGCTAAGACCCCGGGTCCCCGATGTCAGCTCAGGCCCAGCCAGGCCACCCCCTCTGTCTTGCACCTCCCTCCCCAGGAGTCCGCCTGAGCCTCACTCTCTGTGAGGGGAGCAGGGGAGAATTCCGTCGCGGAGGCAGAGAACCAGCGTTTTAAACGTATTTTAAAAGGCCCGGCTGGGTGGCTCAGCTCATTAGCGTCATTCTGATACCCCGAGGCTGCAGGTTCCATCCCCAGTCGGGCCACGAACAAGAATCAACCAACGAATGCATAACGGAAACAGCAAACCCATGCTTCTCTCTTGCTCCCTTCCTCTCTAAAATCATTTTAAAACATTTTAAAAATGTAAACCTTTTTTTTTTAAAAAAAAAAAGCTACTCACTGCCGGCGAACAATGTGAATTGGCAGCCTTTTACATCCTGGTGAGAGAGAGCACGCAGGTGGCATCAGAAGCTGGTTCCTACCTCCCTGTGTTCATTCATCTAACATTTCTGGGGCACCTCTGAGTGTCAGGCCCTGTGCTGAGTTCCTGCCCCCAGGGCCCAGGCCCCGGGAGGGACACACAAAGGGAGCGGAGAGGTTGGCCAAGGATGGGGGGGGGCCCCACACGTATTGTGGAGTGTCATTCGCAGTCTCGTGTGTTACCAACAACTCAGAAGCCAGGGCAGACCCTGGATTGGGACCAGGACAGCTCCCCCCACCCCCCTTCAGAGTGCTGGGCCGGGGCTAGAAAAGGGCCGTGGGAAACCGCACGTGGGGGTGTTCAGAGAAGAAGCAAAATACAGTCAGAGCTGGGGTGGGCAGGGGAGCGGGGGCTTAGGCAGGGGCTCTGTTTGCTCCCACAGGAGCCGAGAGAGTGGCCAGCTGCTGGAGGAGGTCTGCTGTGGCCTAGCGGTGTCTGCCCTGGCCGACAGGGCCCTGTCCTCCCGCCAGGATGCAGAAGGGAGAGGGAGCTGGAGGGACCCGCGGCAGAGAGCCCAGGCTCAGCTGTCAGGCCGTCAGGGTTGAATGCGAGGGCAGATGGGGCAACACCAGCCTCAGCCGCCCCTCTGTGTGGTCAGTGGGGGCACAGCAGAAAGCGCAGGGGTCCCGCGGCCGTCCAGGGTCAGAGAGAAGGTGCACTTGGCACCAAGGCTGCCTGGTCAGGAGAACGGGGGAATCGGGGGTGAGCAGGATGGGCAGGATCAAAGCCTGAAAAGGGCGCAGCGGCCGGAGTGCGAGGGCCGGAGGGGGTGGGGGGAGCTGGTTGGCTCCGAGCAGACAGAGCTAACGTCACTTTCCCTGAGGGGGCCCTGGCCCGTGGCTGGAATGCAGAGGCCTAGGCTGGACAGGGCCTAGGAGCCCTGGAAGGACAGGAATCTGCTGCCAGGGCTCAGGCTGGGAGCGACCTTGGCAGCGGCCACAAGATGGCGGTGGAGCGCTGTCAGCATCTGTCTCGCTTCAGGAAGTATTTCTATTTTCATTTGTTGACACAGTCCCAGCTCTTATTTTAAAAAGCACAGGTGACGGACTTTTTGGTGGCGCGAAGTGAATGTTTGCCTGTCCTGGACGCGGGGGAACCTGGGCTAAGGTGTCAGGCCCTGCAGTGAGCGGCCGGCAGAGCAGTGCTGGGACCCTCCCCGGACACAGCACCTGTGTTTGTGAAAAAAAATCTTGTGCAAATCATTTTAAAGAAGCGTGGGGCAGTCACTGCTTAAAGGAACAGTGTAAATAAATAATTCTACAGGCGCCATCCTGTTATTGGCCCTCTTCTCTGGCTGGTTGACTTAACAGGACCTAGATTAGTGTTCCCGTGTCAGTTCTCAGGCTGGGGCCTAGCCTTTCCCACCAGAACATCCATCCCACTCCGAATCCTCAGCCCTGGGCCTCTGGAGCCTCGTGAGAGGAGGTCGCCCAGCAAGCACTGGGCAGTGCTGGGGGCAGGGCTGGGGGCAGTGCTGGGGGCAGGGCTGGGCAGGCCTTGCAGGGACAGCCAGGACAAGGACCCAGCAGGGAGCTTCTGAGGGGAGGGCTGGGCCACGTGGAGTACCTGGAGCAATCTTAGCGCAAACGGAACAAGTTCAAGGTCTAAGGCAGGCTTGGGACTTCCCTCCAGGAAGTAGATTAAAGCAAAGTGGACCCGCCCACCTCACCCCACCCTCTCCCCAGGGCCAAACCCTGGCCACAGGAATTTCTCGCCTGACGAGGAGTCTCCAGACTACTATTTGGAGCTTCCAAAACATTGTTCTTCCCTGTGATGGGTGTGTTCAGTGTCTGGCCAGACCTAAGGCTCGGTATCACACACGATACTCCAGAGGAGAAATTGTCTCAGGATTCCAATTTCAGAATGCCAAAAGTTACCCTTTTTTCCTCCTTTCTGTAAGTCTGACATTCTGCGAAGGGTGTTGGCTTCACTGGGTGACTAACAGTAGTTTGTGTCTGCTTTGTGCATGTTCTTTTGTCTATTTCCAAACCCCATAAAAGGGCTACTGAGAGCTTGCTGTCTTTTTTGTGGGACTGGAAAAAGGAAGTCACACTGGAGGGAAAATTTCTGTGTGTTATAAAGTTATTACTTAATGGACTCGAATTGTTTGATGAATTTCTTGTGTGGATTTTACAGAACACAGGTTATTTTCCTTGCAAAACTGGTAAGTTTTATTTGTCAGATAAGAGGAGTTATGTAACCCATCTCGTTTGCCTTTTTACCTTGGCTTCCTGGAAGCTCAGAGTTAAATGTAATGAACCATCTTGTTTATGTGTGTGTGTGTGTGTGTGTGTGTGTGTGTGTGTTTAACGATTTTACTTTTTTGAGAGGGAGGGAGGGAGGAAAGGAGAGAGAGAGAGAGAGAGAGAGAGAGAGAGAGAGAGAGAGAGAGAGAGATCGTTTTGTTTATGCAAGTCATTGGTTGATTCTTGAATGTGCCCTGGCCAGAGATCAGGCAACCTTGGCATATAGGGATAAAGCTCTAACCAACTGAGCTACCTGGCCAGGATGTAATAATCTGTCTTGTAATTGTCAGTGCCAATGGCTCCTGTTCTCTTTTCAATATCCTCTACATTTTCTTGTTTTATTACTGTGTGTGTGTGTGTGTGTTCTAATTCTAAACTGCTCTTAGGGAAAGTATGCTACTCTCCCTTCTGAGACTTATCCAGTTGAAAGTTGTAAATAAAAATGATTCCCAAGAAGGAAGCTCAAGGGAGACTCCTTCAGATCCGAGGGCGGCACACATTCATTCAAAGACACAGAGCGGAGGGGGCAGTAGCTGAGAAAGCCCAGCCCTCACCCTGCCCTCCGCTCCGCCGGCTAAGGCTCGGTCCCCACGCCTCCCTGCTGAGAGAACGCGGTGTTCTGGGGCAGAGTGCTGTTTTATTTGACAACAGCCCTGAGGACTGACAGCTCAGTGGCCACAGACACACCCAGACCCAGATTCCCGGGCGGCTCGGCACGGCTGGAGAAAGTCGCCGAACCGCCTGGGGCTCTGGCGCGCTCCTCACCGTAAAGGAAGGTGGTGAGAAAGGAGTCCTGGAATTGGACAGTCATCCAACCGCTAACGGAGGGGCGGTTCTCACATTTAAAAAACACGGAAGACGTTACAAAGAAAGAGGCTGAACAGGTGTCTTTTAGAAAGAGACACACCTACTAGCAAAATGGGCAAAGGAGCCTTGTTAGGAGCGAGCAAAGACTCGCAGAGGAAGCCAGTGAGGCAGGGCCCTCTGTTAGTAAAGGAAACAAACACAGCGCGTTTTTAAACGCCCAGTACAATCCGGGCAGCTCTCAGGCGGGCCCCCCTGCACGGCGCTCTCCAGAAAACCGACCCCGTCCTCGGAAAGCCATTCGGAGGCTGTGGGGAGCAGTTATCATTTATTGTTAGAGCATTTGTCACTTCTGCCTAGAAAGCCTACTTCTGGGACTCCGTGCTACGAAAATGTCCCAAAACAGGGAGAAGCTCCTTGCAGGAAGGTGCTCACGGGGAGGCTGCTGCTGTTCTTGAAAATGGAATCAATATAAACGCCCGTTAGCACAGGTGCCGGGGGCACGTTACTTGGTGAAAAACAAGCTGTAGCACGTGTGGACGGCTCCTTGCCGCCCTTCCCCGCACGTGGTGGTAGCTGGGTCCACAGGAGACTTCCCGGGGCTGCGATGAAGTGCAGCGGTGGTTGTGCCTGGATGGCAAGGAAACCGCGTTTTTTAAGCCCCGCTTTCAGAGTCACCATGTTCTGGTATTTTTCTAATGGAAAAAGTACATAGCTTTTCCAAATATATGTATGTTTTTGCTGATTTGAAAGAGAGGAGGAGGAGGAGAAGGAGGAGAGTAACATTGATGAGAGAGAGACATTGGTTGGCTGCCTCCCTCCTGCACACAACCCCCCTCCCTGCTTTCCGGGGACCTGGGGTGCCCTGGCCAGGAACAGAACCCTCGAACCGGGACCTCCCGGGACACGGGCCAAGGCTCGGCCTGCCGGGCCGCACAGCCAGGGCACAGCTCTCGTGGGAGGCACCATAAGAGCATGAAGAGGTGGGCTCGCTATGTTTCCCAGCGGGTGAGGTTCAGGCTGAAGGAGGAGGCTGGGGTGGTGGCCTTCAGAAGGCTGCCTTCTGTTCACACAGCCAGGGAAAGGACATCTAAAAATACCTATCAATGGGATGAAATGGGCAATAACCTAACAAAGGAAAGGCCGTTTTAACACCCAAAAGTAGGATGGACAATTTCGCTATCAGATCCTCAGTTCTTCGTTTTGCTGAGGACCTGGGGACCCCTGGGCGGCCGGCGTGGGCTCCTTCCCCCCGAAACGTGCCCAGCCAGGGCCCTCACCCCCAGCCGCAGCCGCAGCCACCCCAACCCTGGCCTCCGGGCAGCAGCCCCAGCCAGGGCCCTCACCCCCAGCCGCAGCCACCCCAACCCTGGCCTCCGGGCAGCAGCCCCAGCCAGGGCCCGGAACCCCAGCCACCCTAACCCTGGCCCCAGCCATTGTTCCCAAAGACAGCCTGAGGAGGTCTCAGCGCTGTTTTCAGGACTTCAGAGAGTCATGCTGGTTCTTTCTTTAAAAAAAAAAATTTTTTTTTTTTTTTGAGAGAGAGAAAAGGGAGAGAGGAGAGAAACAGCCATAAGGAGAGCGCATCATTGACGGGCCGCCCCCGGTACGCGGATGGAGGACGGAGCCTGCCCCCAGGCCTGTGCCCGGTTCAGCGGCCGAGGCTGGTTGTGAAGGGGGAGCGCCGCGTGTGGGTCCTTTTATATCCTCGCGGCTCCCGGCCCGTGGCTGAGGGGAGGCGCCAGGGGCGTGCCCGCCCCCCCTCTGGGCCGTGCTTGGCTGAGTGGTTCGTAGTTTTTAGGCAAATTGGGTCCCAATCATTCCCCACGAAGATGTCACCACCCCCACCCCGAGCCTCATGGGACAGCAGTGGGACCTCGGCCGCCGGGGCCACGCCTGCCCAGTGTCTCCCCTCGGCCCCTCTCCCCGTTCCCTGTAACCACCCCCCCACCCCCCCCACCCCCGGGCGCTGTGGCCGGGGTGAGCCGATGGCTGAGGGCAGCACTCACCCTGCCTTCGGGGGCGGAGTCCGCGCCCGCCCGGCGGCGGTGGGTGAGGTCCGCGTTGTCCCTGGGGAGCGCCACCCGTTGGCAGAGGCCCTAATTCCAGACGGCGGCAGGTGCGGGGTTTCTGAAATACCCGCAGGTGAGCCCATTGCCTGACAAGCAAGGTCTCTGGAAGGTTCTGACGGGCCCGAGGGGTGTGCGTGAGGGCCCAGAGGGACTCTGTGTTTGTTCATTAATAGCCTGAGTGGGCCTGGCGGGGGCGGGGGGGGGCAGGGGCTCGTTGGTGGAGCATCGTCCTGTGGGTGGAAAAGCTGCCCATTCGATTCGAGGTCAGGGCACACACAGGGCAACCGACATGTTCCTCTGTCTCTCCCCCTTCCTCTCTCTCAGCAAGTCCTCGGGTGAGGACTGAAATAAAAACACAAGTGAGCACGTTTCATTCCCCCCCGACCGTGTGAGCGCAGGGCCTCCGTGGCCTCCCCGTGTGGGCGAAGGGCTGCCTCCCTCCGGATGGCTCTGTGGGGTGGACCCCGAGCTGTGGGGGGTCCGCCCAGGCCAGCCGGCTGGGCAGTGCCTTCCCGGGCGCCCCCGGGTCCTCCGTGCAGAGCCGGCGAGCTGGGGGTGTCACTCATCCTTCTTTCTGGCTGTCCAAGGTGCAGATAATTAATAAGAAGCTGGATCTTAGCAACGTCCAGTCCAAGTGTGGCTCAAAGGATAATATCAAACACGTGCCCGGAGGCGGCAGTGTGAGTACCTCACACGTCCCCGCGCCGCGGGGGCTGGTGCTGGAGGAGTGGTGTGTGTGCCCCCGGGACATTGCACAGAATAAACCGTCCCTGGGCTCCGGGCCCAGGCCCCGGAGGGGTGCCCAGCGCCTGGGGGTGCCCGGCCTGCACGGGCAGCTTAGGGAAGGCGGCTGGTCTTTCCCTGGCCCATACCTGGACGTGGGTCCTCACAGCTTCAGGCGACCCCCCCGTGACCCCCTCACCGCCCCCACGGGCTCTGCCTGCCAGCCCCTCCCGTCACCTGGACAGGTCCACATGGAGGGGTCCCCCTGTGGACAGCTGGCACTGTTCTGCCTCAGAGCAAGCCACGTCGGGTCTCTGGTCCCATTTGTCTCCCGGGGGGGGGAAGGGGGAGAGCCGTGCCTCAGCCTCTGGCTCCCGTTCAAACCAGCTCCACCCCCTGCAGAGGCTCAGATGCAGAGTGCCCGGCCCCAGGGGACCCCCTGCAGCCCCTTTGGTTCTCTATCGTATTTGCTCTGGGCCCCTTTAAATGCACCCCCACTGCATGTGTCCCCGAGACCTGGGGCTGCACCCTCCCCTCCCCACGTGGCCAGCTCTGCTGCTGCCCTCCCAGCTGTCCTTTGTGGGTGCAAACCCACGGCCTGAGACTCCCCCACTGCCCCTGCCTAACAGGGACAGGAGGTTCGAGACCCCTGAGGTCCACTCGCTCCGGGGAGAGGAGGTTCCTGAGAGCAGGGTCCCGCTCCTGGCTGGCAGCCGAGGATGGCAGCAACGGCCCCAGGGGCTCTCTCTCCAGAAAAGAGATCCAGCCGAGGGTTTATTCTTGCAATGTGCCGCTGCCCCCGCCCGCGCTGTCCCGGCTCTGCCCAGCCCCCTGCCCGGGATGGGCGCTCACCACGCTCACCACGCGGCTGCTGCATGGCGCTCCTGATCGCTTCCTCACCAGCTGCTGTCTCCCAGCCCCTGCTCCCTGCCCCGGCCACCCACCCCGCCTGGCCCGGTCTCATTGCTGCTTTAGCTCTGCCTCCTGGCTCTCGGGCTTTGCCGCAAACTGCTCTCGACCAGAGGAAGAGGCACTGCTTTCCGATTTAACTCGTGTCTGGTCAGCTGGTGGGAGGTCCTGCAGGGGGTGAGCCGGGGTCCTGCAGGGGGGTGGGGAGGAGAGGGTACGTCACTGCTGCCTGAAGTCAGGGAACATCGGGGAACTTCCTCAGGGCGCCCCCTGGCTGCCCCGCACTCCCGCGGGCCTGTGGCCAGCCTGTGACCCAGCAGAGCCGAGGGCGGCCGGGCTGGCCAGGCCCTGTGCTGGGCCCGCCTGAGGCCTGTTTGCAGGAGGAGCCCTCGAAGACAGCTCGTCCGGGGGAGGAGGCTGCACAAGGTCAGCCTCAGGTGATTCGGGGCCCAGCCTGGGCTCCGGCCTCTGGCCTGCCCTCTGCTCTCCCGTCTGGAGGGGCTGCCTGGCCAGGCTGCAGGGAAGAGCAGGAAGCCGGGGTCACCCCGTCCCCCCCGCCGGGGCGAGTCCACAAAGCTCCTTGACTGCCTCCCGGGGGCCTGCCCAGAGCTCTGCTCCCTCCCAGGCCTGTTCTCAGAATCCTTCATCACCCCCACCTCCCCAAGGTGCAGGCTGCCGGCCCTGTGCCCCCGCGCCCCGCCGCCCTCGGGCGCACAGCCCAGGCCACCTGTCGGCCTCAATCAACGCCCCATCGACCTAGGGCACGCCAGGGTGATTCTGGGTAACTGATCACTGGGGTTGTTCCCGGTGATTCTAAGGAGAAACCTCTCCTTCTTCCTGGTTAAAGCCATTCCCGGGCAGGCAGCCATCTCCCTCGGGGAGCCTCCTCCTGGCAGGAGCACCCTCTGGGGCCCCCTCACAGCCATGGCTCTGTGGGGAGCCCCCTCAGGAGAGCCGGTTCTTGGGCTGAGATGAGGGGGCAGTGCAGGGCCGCCGTCCCCCTTGGGAGGATGTCAGGGTGGCTCGGCCACAGGGCGGACGGGGCCAAGGGGAAGCCCTGGGCCTCGGGCGGGCGTGTGTCCGAGTCTGCTCTCTGCGACGCTGGCCCTGGGGTGTCTGCTGGGCCGCCTGTCCCCCTGCCGGTGTCATTCTCCAGGACACGCGGGCGCCCACGGGCTCTCCAGTCTCCCCACGGCTCTGGGTGCAGCTCATGGACTGTCATTGCCCTTGCTGTGGGTGTGCTGGGGTTTCTGGAAGCTTCTCCTGGGACAGAGGCCCCTCTCCACCCCGAGGCCCTCTCCTCTCTGAGGCCCAGCAGACACGCTCTCCGCTTCTCCAACGCCGCACACGGGGGCGCTGGCCCTTTCTGTGTCGTCCCTGACTGATGTCTGTGTGGTGACTGCTCTGTGTGTCTGCTAAGCAAACGGCACGGGCCCTGCACAGGGACAGAGACGAAGGGCCCTGTTTTCCCCAGGGGTCCCTGTCCCCCCGTCACCGGTGCAGACCCGGCTCCCGGGGGCAGGGTTGGCAGAATTCCTACCCGGCATCTCCACCCGGGCCGGGTGTGTGCCTCGGGCAGACAGGAAGCCGGGTCCAGCCAGGCCCGGCTCCCACAGCTGCTTCTCCCCGCGCTCCATCCGCAAATAACCCTGTTTGTTCTCTGCCCGTCCCTCTCCCCTCCAGGTGCAAATAGTCTACAAGCCCGTGGACCTGAGCAAGGTGACCTCCAAGTGTGGCTCGTTAGGCAACATCCATCACAAGCCAGGTAGCCTCGGCCAGCTCGGGCAGGGCCTGGGCAGGGTGGGGTGTTCTGGGGCATTTTGGGGGCGTTCTGGGCTGGGAAGTGGCGACGGGATGGGCCATGGTGAGAGAGGGTTGAGGGTAGAGGGGCTGTCCTGTCTCATCCCTGAGCAGGGGGCAGATGCTGATCCTACACCCTAGCCCCTGGCTCCAGGTGCTCCACGCAGGCTGCACGTGGGGCCTCAGGAGCTGTGGAGCAGCCTGGCCTGACCCCAAAGCTTGGCTCTATGGATGTCCCAGCTTGGGGACACTTCACAAACTGGCCCATTGCTGTGCGCCCTCTGTGACTTTGTTTGAACAGAAAATGATACTGTGGGCACTTTACCATCCCCCCCTTCCCTCTTCCCCTCCAAAAGACAGTGAGATCCCTAGAGCTTGTTGAGATGCTGCAAATGTCGCACACCTGTGATGTGCAATGCCAAGGCCACTGGCCACGTGTGGCTGTTGAGCATATGAAAGATGGCTAGGGCAGTTGAAGAGCTGAATTTTATTAGAATTTAAAAGTACATTAGCACGATGGAATAGTACACAGCCATAAAGAAGAAGGAAATCTTACCCTTTGCAACAATATGGACGGACCTGGAGAGCATTATGCTAAGGGAAATAAGCCAGAGAAAGACAGATACCATGTGATTTCACTTACGTGTGAACTCTAAAGAGCAAAAGAATTTAACAAACAACATAGAAACAGGCAGAGATACATGGAACAGACTGACAGCTGTCAGAGGAGGGGGTTGGAGGGGACTGGATGAAAAAAATGTGAAGGGGTTAAGTAAAAAAAAAATTTATATATATATGTATATATATATATACACACACACACACACACACATACACAAACACACACATACACAAACATACGCATACACAAACATACGCATACACAAACATACACACTAATATATAGAAATAATAAAAGGCCAATATGTAAATTGTCCCTACGGGCAGGAGATCAACCAACCAGGAGTTAGGTGTGCACTGTCCACCAGGGGCTGGTGCGAAACATGGTGGGCGTTTGGCAAGGGGGCAGGTGCTGGGGGGGAAGGGAGGGCCCCTCCCCAGCCGGTAGCCACTAGGGACCCTACCCATGCACGATTTCATGCCCTGGGCTTCTAGTATAGACATAACTCACAGACACAGACAACAGTGTAGTGATAGCCAGAGGGAAAGGGCAGGGAGGTGGAAGTGGGCAAAGCTGGGGAGGAGGTTACAAATGTGAACAAAGAGACTTCACTTTGGGCGATGAGCACGCAATGCAGTGTGCACTTGAAACCTGTATGGTTTTATGAACCAATGTCAGCCCAATAAATTCAATTAAAAACCCACAAATGTAAGTGGCCGTGTGGTTGGTGGTTACCGCATTGGACAACACAACCCAGTGCTAGATCCCAGCTCCCACCTGGTCAGAGTGGGACTCTGCCGTGGCCAGAGATCCCCCTGGAGCCAGCCCTGTGGGCAGAGGCTGTCAGAAGCCTCGTGCAGAATGTCCCCTTGTTTTCGGGCTCCCTGAGACATTTTGTGGGAGTTTCCCTCCCAGGGAAAACTACCCTCCACTGGTGTCACCCCCCTGGGAGCAGCTTTCTTGGGTGGCTTTGTCCTACCCAAGCAAGTAATTACGGCTAGTTGACCCTTGAACTACATGGGGGGTCGGTGCCAACCACTGTGCAGTCAAACACATGCAGTTAGTACCTGTTATGCATGTCCTATGTATTAAATTATCGCATGACCACAATGAAGTAAACTAGAGAAAAGAAAGCGCTTCAAATAAATTCATAAGGGATACAATATTTATTGAAAAGAATTTTCATGTGCCGAAACCGGTTTGGCTCAGTGGATAGAGCGTCGGCCTGTGGACTGAAAGATCCCGGGTTCGATTCCGGTCAAGGGCATGTACCGTGGTTGCAGGCACATCCCCAGAAGGGGGTGTGCAAGAGGCAGCTGATCGATGATTCTCTCTTATCGATGTTTCTAACTCTCTATCCCTCTCTCTTCCTCTCTGTAAAAAAATCAATAAAATACATTTTTTTAAAAAGAAAAAAAAAAAAGAATCTTTCTGTAAGTGGACCCATGCAGTTGTTCAAGGGTCAGCGGTCCCCTCTCTCGCCCTCAGACCGCGTCTCCCCTTGGGTGTGGTGGCCTCGGGCGTCTAAGGGGACAGGAGAGCCAGGCCCTCTTTGTTGGGTGCCTTTTGCCTTCAGTTTAATTCCAAGGGCTTGCAGGGCTACAGCTTCCAGGATGTTGACACAGAACCACCTCCCTCTCCGGAAGCCACCAGTTTAGAGCTGGAGGGAGTAACTTCTCCCCGACCGAGCGGTCACTTACCTCCGCCTTATCTGAGGAGGAAGAGTTTTCTGAGTAAACGCTGGATGCATACCTTGATTAGAGAGGTGAAGCAAACTGTTTCCAGGCCTTTACAAGGACTGACCGGTGCCCCAGCTGCTTTCTCAGTGAAGGCGGTGCTCCTGGGAGTGACGGAAACCACACTCACTCCCGCGCTGTGTGCTGTGTTCCAGGAGGCGGCCAGGTGGAGGTCAAATCCGAGAAGCTGGACTTCAAGGACAGGGTCCAGTCGAAGATCGGGTCTCTGGACAACATCACCCACGTCCCGGGGGGCGGGAATAAAAAGGTAAAGGGGGCAGGGCCGAGGGGGGGAGGGAGGGAGACTGGCCCAGGCTTCCAGCGAAGGAAGCTGGAGGCCCCACGGAGCCTGGCACGATGTGGTCCTCAGCAGCCACCTGGGGGCGCCACGGGACTGGATGCCGGACCCACCTTGGCGCTTCCGACTCGTCCCAGGTGTAGTCTGGACACCGGGAGGTTTTAAACCTGGTCCGCGGTGAGATCTGAAAGGTTGGCGACCACAGCTTTAGAGCAAATGTGAGAGCCACTGTCCTAGGCCCCGCGGTTGCCAAGCAGCCACAGAAGGCAGCAGCCATCCCAAAGCCAGCCCAGGGCCCCCAAAACAAGTCAGGGGGACAAAACCTCACTTTCTAAATGGATCACCGGGCAGATGGAGCAAAATGGCGACTTCAGCCACACCGCCGCCCGGGCGTGTCCACGGCGAGGCTGCGGCCAGGACCTCGGCCGCCCAGCAGGTCTGGTCTCTGGGTCTTGCCTGAGTTCCCTTCAGTTGGGGGGTTTGGGGACATCACTAGGACCCTGTCATTTTTTCCTCAAGAACAAAGCTTTTACAAATCATGAATGATTTTTATCAAAAACTTATGTGAAAAAGGCCCTTCACCTACAGAAACATGGAAGGGTCCTTGGGTCAAAGCGGTGGCCCAAATGAACAAAATCAGCTCCTGTATGGCCCCGATGGAAGCTTAGTCTCTCTCTCAAGCCCATGCAATAGAGGCCCTTCCCCTGGGCCCCGGCCTCCTGCCGTGTGTCTTTATGGTCCTATCAGACCCTCAGGGAGGCCGCAGGCCCCAGAGAGGCTGAGAATCACTGTGCCCATCTCATCAGGAATCACTGTGCTGCTTGCCTCCCTGGCTAACGCTCCCCGAGTTTCCCAGGCACCACGGCGCCCTGCCCTCCGGGGCTGCAGACTATTCCGTCCTTTCTCTACGTTTATAAAAGGGCTTTATCTAAGGTGACCAGACATCCCGATTTTTAACTATTTGTCCCGGGTCCCGCGTTTTAAAACGCCTCGGGACATCTGGTCACCTTAGCTTTATCACACCCATCAGTGCTGCCCTCCGTTGCTGCCACCTCCAGACTCATTAGTCGCTGGCAGAGGGGAAGGGTGTGGGTGGCTCATGGCAGGGCAGCTGCGGCTCTGGGGACGCCCCTGGATCTCCTCCAGCAAACTGGGCGGCAGGTGCAGCCTGAGGACCCGCCAGCAGCTCCACGGGCAGGACACGCCCACACGGCGCGCGAAACGATGTGTGTTCAAGGTCACCCACGGTTATCCACACACAGCATGCTTTGTCCCAGCAAAAGCCTGGAGCAGCTGAAATACCCACCCCCAGGGGGGCAGACACACGTGGGCACATCCGTCCTGGTGGGATGCCAGGCGGCCATCGGCAAGCCCGAGGGAACTAGTGCTGTCAGCAGAGGGTTTAAGTCCACAAACCAACGTAGAGCGGCGCCAAGTACAGTGCATACTGTTACATGCGTGTTAAAATAGGCACACCTGTTTTTTACGTGTTCCCACATACGTCTGGGGTGGGGTATCTCTGTAAGGGTCCCCAAGACACTTAGGACGGCTACTGCCTCTGAAGAGGGGAACAGGGCCTCCAGGAGGCAGGAGGCACAGGTGTTTGCTATTTGGGAGTGAGGAAGCCACAGCTACCACCACTTCATCGGGCCTCCCCTCACCCCCACCCCCGGGGGGCACAATGGCGGGGCTGGTGCCCATCTCCAGCTCTTCCTCTCAGCCTCCCGCCCCTCCCGTCCCGCAGATCGAAACCCACAAGCTGACCTTCCGTGAGAACGCCAAGGCCAAGACGGACCACGGGGCGGAGATCGTGTACAAGTCGCCCGCGGTGTCCGGGGACACGTCTCCGCGGCACCTCAGCAACGTGTCCTCCACGGGCAGCATCGACATGGCGGACTCGCCCCAGCTCGCCACGCTCGCCGACGAGGTGTCCGCCTCCCTGGCCAAGCAGGGTTTGTGATCAGGCCCCCGGGGCGGTCACTGACCGTGGAGAGGAGAGAGTGAAAGAGTGTGGAGAGAGAGAAACAAAAAAGAGTAATGACCCGGCCCCTCGCCCTCTGCCCCCACAGCTGCTCCTCACAGATCGATCGGGTTATCGGTTTAATCACTGAACCTGCTTTTGCCGCTCGGCTCTGGCTCGGGACTTCAAAATCAGTGACGGGGAATAAGAGCCGATTCCATCTTTCCAAATTGATGGGTGGGCTGAGAATAATAAAATGTTTTTAAAAACGCGTGAAAGATGGCCACACCCAACATTTCCTCGGGCAATTCCGTTTGATTCTTTTTTTTTTTTTTTTCCCCCCTCTGAGTAGAAGAGGAAGAAAGTCAGGCTCTGAAAGGTGCTTCTGAGGGTTTTCAGGGGGCTGGGGGCGCCCTCTGGCCCCATCCTGGGGATGTCACAGAGGCTGTGGCGGCAACAAAGGATTTGCAACTTGGTATGTTGGTGTGAGCTGGACAGGTGAGGGGGGCACAGGAGAGGCTGAGGCAGCGGGTGGGCAGGGGAGCGGGAGAGGGAGGGGGAGTAAGCATGAGGGAGATGAGACCTGCTCCCCAAGGGAGGGCAGCAGGGAGCACAGGAGCCTCCCCGGGGCCTCCTGGGCTGGCAGCCGGGTCTGTGCAGGTGGGTGAGCCTCCCGCAGGACAGGGCAGGGCAGAGCTGGGCAGGGCTCCAGTCCCTCCCACCTGCCTGGCAGGGGAAGGCTGGCTGGCGGGAGGGTGGCAGGCGGTGTTGTGACTTCCTTAGAGAAGTCGCCTCCAGTCCACTGTCCCCCGTGCAGGGCCGGGGCGGGCGGTCCTGGCCTGAGGGGCTTCCCTCCACCCCCAGAGACCCTGCTCAGTTGTGTTCTGAAGGTTGGAAGTGCAGCCTCGACTTTGGCCACCTCACTGACCTGGGACTTCAGGGCTGACCAGTTCTCTTGTAAGGACCTGTGCCTCTTGTGGGACACCCGCCTGTTCCCAAGCCTGGGCCGCTGGCATCTCTAGAGTGTGCGGGGGGCCGGGCAGGGGTCCTGCCTCCTGCTCTTCCCACCCCCCTGCAGCCAGCTGCCTGCCCACCCCCCACACACACCCTGTGTCTGCCGGCTGGAGCCCAGTCACTGCCTGTACCTCTCATTATGTCACACTGTCCCGAGTCCCAGCCTCACCACCCGCTTCTCAGTCATTCACCTTGTTTGGATGTGGGAGGCATCAAGGGAAGGCAGAGTCCGGGCCCAAGGTGGGGCCTCGGTTTCTAGGTCTATGTCACCCTCATCCAACTGGCCTGTCCCTCACGATGAACCCCGTGACCTGACCTCCCATTCAGACGTGGGGCTTGGCAAGGCCAGGCTGGGGCTCAGCCAGGACCCTGGGTGTTGGCTTGGAGAGCCTTTACCTCCCAGAAGACCAGCCCCTTCCTGCGCCGAGCTGCAGCTGGTTGGGTGTCCTGGTTGTCAGAGATGGCACCAACACAGGCAGGCGCCCGGGGAGGGCCCTGTTCCCCGTCCCTCACGTCCCCCCCAGCCTGTGACTGCCACCACACCGCTCAGTCTCACGTGCATACCCCCAGCCCTCCACCCCTCACCAAGGGACTCGCCCACTTGGAAATGGTTCTCCCGTCCCGGCTGGAAGCAGTGCTGTCTGTCCACGGGAGCAGCTGACCGTATACATAGATGTCGCCTTTCCCTCCCCGTCTGCACCTGTTGTCGTCCGGTTTGTCTGTCTATGCTTGGATCCACCCGAGTGACTATGATAGTGAAAAGAAAAGAAAAAAGAAAAAAGAAAAAAGAAAAAAAAAAAAAAAGGACGCATGCATCTTGAAATGCTTGTAAGGTTTCTTACCCGCCCGGCGGGGTCCTGGGTAGCCCTCCCCTGTGCTGGGAGGCGGGGCCAGTGCGGCTCTCCCCGGCGTGGCCTCCAGAGAGGCTTCCTTCAGCACCTGGGACCGACGGAGCACAGATTCTGGCACCGGGGCACCCTCGGCTGGAAGGAGGCCGAGGCGAGGGATGAGGACCAAGAAAGCCGGTGCCCCTGCTCGCCCCGGGCTCCCCTTTGCGGGGCAGCGCTGTCTTGGGCTGGCTCGGCCTGCAACGTGAAAACGCCCTCCCGGCCGCGGCCTGCAGAAGCCCCGCGCACCGGGAAGACGCCGCCCGCGCCCCCGGGGACGGGCCCGGGGCCTGACCACCACAGCGGCCTGGCCCAGCCCCCTCAGACCTTGCAGGACTCCGTCTGCCGCCTCGGGGGAAGGGAAGCAGCCTCTGCGGAAACGGCTGCTTAAAGAAACTCAGCCGCACGACTGGTCCTGCCACTTCCGGTGTAGATAGTTGAAGGCACCTGGGCTGGAGGCTTCCTTTGCCGTCAGAGCTTTCGGCTGTCCTGCGAGTCCCAGCTGCTCTGCGGGTTCTGAGAGGGAAAAAGGAAATGTGGTTTAAAGGCCGGTAGCTGTGAGCGAGGTAGCCCATCTTGACTGCCGCTCCTGTGCTGCCTCTCTCCCGGCTTCCTCTTCCTGTAGCTCCCGTGCCCTGTGCTCTGACACCTGACTCCGAGGGCCCTGGGATCTCCCCAGAAGGGTGGACTACGAGGGCCAGCCCCAGAATCACGGTTTAGGGTGATCAGGTCAGTGTTGGGGAGGAGAGGGAAAGGGGTGCTGGCTTGTGACCTTAAATGAGGACGAGCCCCCAGGGCAGAGTTCCCCGCATTCCCCCTCTCCAGTCCATGTCCCTTGGGTGGCCTAGGTATGCTCCATGCCTGGCTCCTTCAAGCTCCCCGTTCTACCCATAGATCCGCTTAAATTGACTTCAGTGGTGAGACTGTATCCTGTTTGCGATTGCTTGTTGTGCTCTGGGGGTGGGGGAGGAACTGTACGGTAGTTACCATGGGCGAGGGGAGGTGGTGGAGTGCAGCAGTGAAACCTGGTCGTAACCCTTTCCCTCACCACTCCAACCGCATTTGCTAGAGTTCCCGGAGGTGCCGCCTTCTCACTGACCGGATTCCCAAGTGCAGTGGCTGCCAGCTGCTTCCCATGTCCTTCCCGGGCAGGTGCAGGCGGTGAGGCTGGTGGAGGAATCTGGAGATGTGGTGGATCTGGTCTCTTGCCGGGCCCCAAGCCCACAATCGTGCCTCCCACAGACCTTGGCAGACTTTCCTGTAAGCCGTGGGCACCTGTGTGTCACTTTTCCCACTGACTCTGGACACGCAGCCTGTGTCCAGGAGCTGCCAAGATCTTTCCCTTCACCCTCTTGTCTCTCTGTCCCCGGAGGAAAGCCAAGAGGCAGAGGGATGAGGGTCAAGGTGGAGGTCACTGTGTCCCATCTATAGATCCGTGGCTTCAGGAGACTTCTAGTTGCTCTGCAGTTTTGAAAGGGTTATCCTGGGCACTGACCCAGCCTCACCTCCTAATGGACTTAGCCCGTGAATGTGCAGTGTCTGGCAGGACAATTTCTGACACTGGCAAGTCCCATGATTTCTTCAGTAATTTTGAGGGTGGGAGGGGAGGGACATGAAACCATCTTAGCTTAGCTTCCTGTCTGTGAATGTCCATATGGTGTATTGTGTGTTTTAACAAATGATATACAAGGACTGTTGCTGTAAAAGTGAATTTGAAAATAAAGTTATTACTGATTAAATGAGGTCTATGTGCATAAATTCAAAAGACAAATGATATGGGATGTATGATTTTCAAATCCTTTCTCTGCTTTGGAAAACTTAGCTCCGAATAGGGAAAGGCAATGTTGTTAAAACTGGGCGATATACCAAAACCGGTTTGGCTCAGTGGATAGAGGGTTGGCCTGTGGACTCAAGGGTCCCAGGTTCGATTCCAATCAAGGGCGTGTACCTTGGTTGCGGCCACAGCCTCAGTAGGGGGTGCGCAAGAGGCAGCTGATCGATGTTTCTAACTATCCCTCTTCCTTCCTCTAAAAAATCAATAAAATATATTTAAAAACAAAAAACAACTGGGCCATAGAGGTTTACCAGCTCTCTCTAGGGCCCCAAAAGTGAAAGAATTCTCAAACTTTTCGTTTTCAGCCCAATTATCTCATTCTGGTGCTCACAACAATACTGGTCAATATCCTGTGGGCTGACCAATTCTAGTGATTTCAAACCTGAAAAGACTGGGGTTGGTATATGACAGTGGTCAGCAAACTGCGGCTCTCGAGCCACATGTAGCTCTTTGGCCCCTTGAGGGTGGCTCTTCCACAAAAAACCACGTGCGGGTACACATGTACAGTGCGATTGAAACTTCGTGGCCCATGCACAGAAGTCGGTTTTCAGCTCTCAAAACAAGTTTCAATCATTGTACTGTTGATATTTGGCTCTGTTGGCTAAGTTTGCCGACCACTAGTATATGAGCTGTTTTCTTCCCTGGAAATAGCCTTGAGGCCTGGGGCTGAAGCAGAACACCAGCCAATCAGCTGAAGGAATGGCTTAGCTCTTGCAGGCTTACAGAGCTGCCTTCCTCCTAGTATTGGGGAACAGGTCTGCTAAATTAAGACAGCGATCCCAGCCAACCCCTAGCAATGTCACAAAGGGAAACAGTAACAGAACAAACCATCATCTTATTGTTTCTCAGTAATAAGTTCAAGGTCTTAACACAGAGCCCTTAGATTTTCCAAGTTTCAAAATATGACTTTGCTCAGCTTTTCCTTAGCCACTGCAGACAGAAGCTTAAGGAGAGATCTTAACTGTAACTATAGCAGCAGCAACAGGGCAGCCACAGAGAAATGCAACCTTGGAACTGCTGCTTTCACGACCGGGATAGGCAGCTCACTGGCTGTTCCAACTTGACTGCCGTGAAAAGGAAAAAGAAAACAATAAAGTATATATTCTCGTTGGCACCTACTCTCTTTCTGGTGATCATACAATGACCCTGCGAGGTGCATGTAAGACAGAATGAAGACACCCCAAAGTCCACCGCAAGTCAGGACACAGGGAACTGGGCAGCAATACCATGTTCAAGTGTCAAAAAAGGCCCGGCACACAACATTCTGTAACTTTTTTTTTATTATTTTTTTCACTTTTTCCTTCCTTTTTTTTTTTAAGCACTAGCTTGTGCTTTGCGAACAGAATCAAGACATTAACAAAGATCAGCTTCTCTGAAGAAAAGCATTTCTATAGAACAAAGACAGCTACATGTTTCGCTGCCAATACACAGCTCAAAGCAGAAAAAGAAAATATTTACAAAATACAAGGTGGTTTTTTTTTTCCGTTTTTGTTTTTGTTGTTGTTTTTTTTTTTTTTTTACAATGCTAAAAGGGTTATTCAGAATTTTCAACCTTATAAATAGAAGAAGCACTTTATGCATAGGGATATGGTGCATTATTGTTTTTTTAAAGAAACAATGACAAACCATTTAACTTGCAAACAGAATCAAAAAGAATCACTAATGTTGAAAATTGTGAAAAAACCCCAACCATTAAGCAGCTTGCTTACTATTTTTATATGATTACAAAATGGGGAGAGAAAAAAAAAAAGTCCTTATTGCCCCTTTTGGTAATGTGATCATACATGAGACAGGCACAAGGTTAACAACCAGGGAGTGATCACGGGGGAGTGATGGGAACCACAGCTGGGACCAGACAATGTTCCACAGGAAAGGGAAACTTAAAAGAGGAAGGGCTGAATCGACACTGACAGGGAACTGGAGGGGGAAGGAAACAACTGACTGAATCCGCCGAAGAGAACGGAATTACACAGGAGAAGTGGGGGCTCACTTCCCAACCTCTAGTTTGCAGAGGTGGGAATAGAGGTTAAGTAGTCCTAACTCTGCTTCATGGGACATGACAGGGTGGAAAAGCCCAAGTGGAAGAAGTGGTGTGCGTGGGTATGAATATGGCAGGGGGCAGCAGACAGGAGGGCACGGAGGGGCAGGATGGGGACCTGAGCAGCCGCAGCCAGGTTAACTGCAGTTTAGGAGTCAAAACAGAGATGACCAAATGCAGAGGAAACCCACACCAGTCTCCGCGGTCTGGATGACAGGGAAGTCCCTCTAGCTGGCCGTTACGGTGAAGAGGCTGTGGCCGGTGCTCCGGCACAGATGGCCACGGCAGACCCAGCCAGGAGGGCCGCAGCTGAGCCGAGCCACCGGTGGGGAGGTGAGAGCCCAGAGCGAGCTGCTCTCCCCGCCCTGACCTAAGGTGGCAAAACTGAGCTTGAGCTTTCCATTCCTTCTGCCCACTTGGCTGTCCCACCCTGCCCACAGGTGTGAGGGAGAGGTGGTCATCAAACATCGCTAAGTCCAGTGATTCAACAGTGCAGAGGATGTGCCAGGACCAGGCGGCAGGGCTTATCCTGACCTTCTGTTTGCCAGCTGGAGGAAGTGCTCAGGTGTGTGACAACAAAACATGGAAACCAAAACCAAAACAAAACAAAAATCAAAATGAGGAGGAGAAAAAAAAAAAAAGTAGAATCTAAATTCCTTAAATTCACTAAAAACTGTGAAAATTTCCGGCATATGATGTTTGAATATCAAACGCAGAGATTTCTGAAGCTTTAATGCCAATAGTTAGTGAGTCTTTAGATTCTCGTATCCCGCTCATCTGTGAGTTGGACGCTGAGCTGTGACTGCTGCTGCTAGATGCCGACTCTTGAGGGGGACCACGGGCGGAGAGGTGGGCGCCAGCTCTGACTCTCGACCAGTCTTGCTGCCTGAGGTGCGCCGAGTGCAGCGAGCTGCCCGTTCCTGCGCATCCAGTTGGTCCTCACACTCTGCCTGGGGACTGTACGCCAGGGGGAAGGTTCGCCGCTCCCATGGCTGGACAGACTGTGGGCAGACAAGTTGCCTTGGTGAGCACCCAGTACCAGCTGCCTCCTGCCCCAAAACGTGTGGACTAGAACCCCTGACTAGTCTCCCTGGAGTTCCTGGTAGTGTGGGAAGACCCCTCACAGAGTGGGCGCCCTTTTACCAATGGCCAGTTCCATTGTGCCTTCAGAAGGTCAATTTCAAGCGCAGCCCCTCCTCCCTTCCTTCATAATGGGAGAGTCATGAAATGAAGACCCATCTTCAGCAGTGCTGTCCGTTCCTCATCTCACCCCCCACCTGCCAACCCCTGCAAAGGCAGCATCCCTTACCTGCTCGTCCAGCCCCAGCTCTGGCGTGGAACAACGGGTGTCGTCACTGGCTAGGTGTCGTAGAGTGTCCCGTGCCACAGGGGTGAGGGGGGCTGAGTGCACTTCCGGGCTGATGGGGCTCCTAGGGGACTGACCGTGGGAGAAGTCCAACAAAGAGTGGCTACTACTGACATCAGGAGAGGGAGGTTGGGGGGTGGAGGGGTTGGCACTGCCCAGCTGGGGGGTTGTCCGGCCGTCTGATGACCTGTAAGACCTGTACACCAAGAAGTGCAAATCTAAGTGCCTGAGTCAAGGGAATTTCTAGTACATTATTGTTGAGGGGCAGGGGGGGAAGGAGAGGAGGGACTGTAGAAGCAGGAAAGCAAGTGTCCACCAGGGAGCCAAGATAGACCCGCACCAACAGTTCTTTCCCAGGAACCACAAATCCCTTCATGTCCTCCCACCGCCGTGTACAGAGGTGGCTACACAATATGACATCTAAAACTGTCATCCCAAGAGAAAGCCAGGGCTGAACAATGCCAGAGCTAATCCCTGCCCAATGCCTAGACTTCACAGGGGAAGGGAAATTAGTTCAAATTCTGAAAACTATGGTCGAAGGAAAAAGCAAAATTGAATCTAAGTCCTTCTAATTGAGAATCCCGAGGGCTTCTGCAACTGTGAACAGTAACTGGAGATAAGGTGGACCACAGAACCATGCTCCACTGTCTCAAGGAAGGACAGCGTGTGGTGAGGCCTCCGAATGCCAGCCAGCCTGCTTCTCAGGAGGCCAGAGCCTGACTGCTTATACTCTCACTGGTTGCAACTTCTGTATTCTCAGCTACTGCCAATGGATGAATACGAAAAAGAGCAAAATCAACTAACTGAGAGGCAGGGGCAATTCCTTGGACACGGCCCACAATCCCCGTCCCATCACCTGCTGCCCCGCCGCTGGGGTGGCACGCTTGTGGTCCACAGCCACCTAGCCCTCTCCATCTCCTCACATTTGGCATGCAGGGCGGCGAAGGCTGCATCAGACAAGTCCTCGATCTGCAATAGAGCAGCTTCAATGATCAACAGTTTCTTCCAGAAAGCGGAGTTTAAGTATGGGTAGGTCAATTCTAGAGTCATCCCCACCCCACACTAGACTCTTCCCCATCAAAGCAGGAATGTGAGCTTGCACTGATTCCACAGGACTGGATGTGTGCACCCATGTGTATGTATCTTCTTTAAGAGAGAATGGGCCATGCCGTTACCTCCTCGTTCTCTTCGTCAGGATTCCCCTTCAGAGACCGAAGATCGACCTCCCGCCAGCTGCAAAACCAAGAAGGGACAACCATGAGATGGCAGGTCGCTGGGGCAGGATAAATGTGTCCATGCAAGAATGAGAGCCATGCACCTACGAGTGACACTGCTTTCTGCTGGCAGGCTCTGCCCTCTCAGAGGCTGTCCTCCTTTGCTCTGAGGCCTCTGAAAGAGGCCCCACACTCAGAATTACATGGGCCATAAACCAATGGAGGCTCCGTGACTGACAGAAACAAAGAGACCGCCACATTCAGCACCAGCAGATCACTGCCACATGGGACTGCATATACAGTCACCCAATCTTCCGATTTACCATCAAAAACTAGAAATAAAGATTCATACGTGAAGTCCTGCCTTGATGCTGATGACAAATTCAATATTTTAAAACACATTGTTGTGTCAATCAAAATAATGTCTATCACCATTTTGTGGCCTGTAGTCTGGTTAGACTTATATAATGGAATGAGAGAGAACTAATAAATAATTTCACTTCTGTTACACACAACTTCCTCTTAAACAGAAGACAAAACTCAAAGCTAGGACCCAGAGCTCAGTGACAAGAGACACAGAAAAAAGGACAGTATCAGAAAGAATGAGGGAAGCCAGTTTATTTAGGGCCTCTACCTGGGAGTGAGGATTTCCTTGTATTGCAGTTTCTCTACACGGGTTGTTGCAGCAACAGACATTGGGATGACAATGTTGTTAATGTCAAATGAGCTCTCGCCCCTTCTCCTCCTTATTGGCTGCTGCAAGACAAAGGTAAGTTTAAAAGAGAGGTACAATTCTGCAAACATCAAAGCATATACCAGAGACTTAAAAAACACGATCATCAATAAATAGGCACCTGGGTCCCATTGGTGAGGGCTGGGCAGCAGCTGCTTGCTTCTGGGAGATGGTCTCCCATAACAAAGCCGTCAGGAGAAATATTAGGTGGGCCCTGATAAGTACCTTCTGTGCACAAGTCTCACTGTCTACCCTCCAGCTTCATGGGCTCATGTGAGGAGACTTCTGTGAATCTCACAAGGTGGGTATTCTGGGGCCTTGATTCAGTTGTTGTTCCTATTCCTCCATAAACCCTTTACTACCCTTTCTCCTTACTTGAAAATAATTTTTAATACACATTTTTTTAGTTTGTTTAATAAACATTTTAAATTGATATATATATTTTTTAGACAAAGAGGAAGAGAGAGAGAGACATTAATCAGCTGCTTCTTCACGCCCCCTACTTGGAGGTCGAGTCTGCAACCCGGGCATGTGCCCTGTCTGGAAATTGAACCTGCAACCTCTTGGTGCAGGTGAAGGACACCTAATACCAACTGAGCCACTCCGGCCAGGCACCTCTCTCCACTATATATACACAGAGTCACCCAATCTTTATATATATATATATATGCTTCTCTCTCTTTTTATTGATTATGGTATCATATAATTGTCCTCATCCCCCCCATTCCCATCCCAAACCCCTCCCCACATATGCCCCCACCCCTCTGTTGTCCATGACCACTGGTTAGGCTTATATGCATGCACACACACCTCTCTCCATTTTATTTTTTTTTCTTTTTATTTGTTTATTTTATTTTAATTTCTTTTTAAAATTTCTTTATTAAGGTATCACATATTTGTCCTCAAACCCCCACTCCAATCCCCCACCCCCTCTCTCCACTTTAAATCCTCCTTTCTGTTTCCCCTTTTATTCCCACCCATGACTTAGACTCACAGTAGCTCCTAAAAGCAATGCTTAAACCTAGTGGTGACTCTTCCTGTTATAAAAATGATTTCCCTTATCCTGAAAGATGCCCAAAAAACAGGTCCAGTTCAATAGATCATCTAACCTTAGATGTTATGAAATCACCTCCTTTTTATAGATCTGAACACTTCAGTTAAATCTGAACCCACTGTCTGCTCAGCCACTATGTGATTTCCCTCTTTGTGGCTATTATTCTTGGGGGAAGAGTTGAGTGCTTTCTAGATGAGAGCAGAGCTGAAGAAGAGGCCTGGGTTCTATAGCTCACTCCTGGGAAAGGGAAGTTGACAAGATCAAACTCTTGAGAAAGACTAATAAGGATCCAATGAGAAGGTGGGCACCTACAGCAGCTGAGAGACCAAAGAAGGGATAAAGCCAAAGGGCTTGGTTTCACAGATGGAGGAAAAAGTCCACTAGCTGTTTGTGCCCAGACAGCAAACACCCTACCTTGCCACAGAGACTGGCAATTGAGCTGTGAGAGGCCAGAAGGAAACAGTGGGTGACAAACATGCTGCCATGGCGACAATACAGCTGCAAACACCTAAGAGACGGCATTCAAACCCAAACCACCATGTGTGCTTGGCCCAGAAGAGGTTAGTGAAGTGAAAGAAGATGAGGAAGAGATTGTTCCCTACAACTAACCATTCTACTCTGTTCCTGGAGTGCGACATATAACCAACTCACCCCATCATTTCAGGACATTCTCAGAGAATGTTGAAAGGCAGTGCACTTCCTGGGCAAGGATTTTAATTATGTTACCTATGACCCTAGGTTATCACAATGTCCTTCTCACCTCAAGTTCATTCTCTATCAAGTAAAAATAGATCCGTGATTTTCAACCTTTTCTATCTCACAGCACATGTAAACTAAGTAGTAACATTTTGTGGCACACCCAAAAATATATTTTTTCCCAATACGAGGAAAAAAAAAGTATAATTTTGATTCAGCCACAGCAGATGGATATGGTTGTGTTGGCTGTTGTCATTTTCTTATTTGACAATCTAAGGGAAAAGAGGTCAGTGCCCTGGACTAGATAGTGAGGTATTGCATGTTTTAAAAGTTCTTGCAGCACATTGGCTGACAATCACTGGAATAGATTGTCATTGTCTCCTACACCTTTGTTGAAACTATATGTCCTACTAAGAAGAGTTCCTTAAGGAAGCCCCAAGAGATAGCTTTCCATATATCTTAACCAAGAATGAATGCGAGCTCGGCTGGTATGGCTCAGGTGGTTGAATGTCATTCCATATAATAGGAGGTCACTGGTTCAATTCCTAGTCAGGCACAAGCCCAGGTTTTGGGCTTGATCCTCAGTAGGGGGCGTACATGAGGCAGCCAACGGATGTTTCTCTCTCCATAAAACGGATTTTAAAAAAAAGAAAAAAAAAAAAAAAAAAAAAAAGAATGTAAAACTGCTGCCAAAAATAGGTATATATTTCCCCTAAAACGACTCGCTCCCATTCTATCAGATACTAATTTGGTTGAACATAACTACTCTTCTGTTTAGAATCAGAGGTGGAGAGCAAATGATGGGAATGGACAATGGTTCCCAAACCTGGTTGCACAACAGAAGCAAAATAAAGAGGGAGAGCTTAAAAAAATAATAATAATAAAAAACCACAACATTTCTGACTATAAAATCAGAATCTTCAGGGATATTTTAAAAAGTCATTGAGTTGATTCCGATTCATCCACTATCTTTTGTGAAGCACTAAGTATATATACCTCTTTCTGCTCTCAGTCCCCCTAAATGTCTCTCCATGTCCTTTAGCTTCTCTACCTTATTTTAACTATCTGGCCTTTCATTTTATTAAATAGATCCAGCTTCTTATAATAAGAGAGAGAGAGAGAGAGAGAGAGAGAGAGAAAGAGAGAGAGAGAGAGAGAGAGAGAGAGAGAGAGAGAGCAAGAGCCTTACTGATTAACACAGGGCTATGTGTAAAATTTATACTTAATAAATAAATTATAAGTTCTTGTTTTCTATCAGAATTCAACTCTCTCTGAAATCCTCATCTTTTGGTTATCTACCTTTTGCTGATGGGTAGCTAAGTTTGTGATAGATACTACCTATTTAGACAAAATTTAGACAGAATGTAGGAGGCGAAGAGGAGGAAGGAAATAAGAGACTATTCAGAAAAGAGTTTTAAGAGCAAAGACAGAACAATGTGAATTCCTACCTTATCACAGTTACCTAGTGAGCACATTTTGTGGCTTAGAAGTTTCTTGATGTCAGTTCTAAAGGGGCTTCAAAGCACATGCATAAGGTGCCTCTGCCATGGGTGCCCCAGTGGTCAACACTGTGTATGTAAAGTAAGAGCCAGCTCTGCAGCCAGGCGGCCTGGGCTTGAATCACAATTATAATCATCACAAGTTGCCTTGCTTATGCAATTTATTTAACTTTGGAAAGCCTTAGTTTCCCTATTTACAAAATGGGAATCCTTTAACACCAACTACATCTCAAAGGGTGTTATAGAACCAACTGAAAAAATATGTGAAAAAACACTTAGCACTGACACATTACAGTGGCAGTGTCTTATTATTACTATCACCATTGTTATTATAATTACTACATAAAGGACCCTTTAGTACAGAACGCCGCTACAGGTAGATGTGTTCAAGGAGGCACATTTGAGGAACTAAAGTATTATAACAAAATTCTAATGTGTGTCTGAAATGGCTATGAAACCAGCTTTCTGGATAGAATGCAGTATTTATGAGATCATTGTGAGTGTACCACAAGCAAGCACTGCCAGGGTGGCCTGCTGGATCTGTAATTCTGCTCTGGACCCCAGAAAAGCATGGGCTCTACCTTCTCCCTTCTGTTCCAGGCACTCTTAACATCAGTCTTTATTCTAAGTACTGTAGCTCCACTTGCCAGTAAAGTAAAAGCTGGGAAATCAAATGTCTTCAATGCCCATAGGTATCACTCCTCTATCCCTTCTCTTGGCTTACTTCTTAGACTAAGAGGGTTTTAGAGCTATGGTATTGTTCAGTTATACGTGAAACTCAGTCCCACAGATCTTGAATAATCATAGACCACTTTAAAGTTTTTCTCTGCATCAAGCTTTTTACGGATGGCTCAACACGGATACATCTCCATTATGAAAACAAGTCAACAGAAAATCAAATACCACCACTCTGATTTTAAAAAGACACATAACACCCTTGCTGGTCTGGCTCAGTCCTGCAGAGCATCAGCCTGCAGACTGAAGGGTCCTGGGTTCTATTCCAGGCAAGGGCACATGCCCGGGTTGTGGGCTTGATCACCAGTATGGGGCCATGCAGGAGGCAGCCAATCAATGATTCTCTCTCATTATTGATGTTTCTATCCCTCTCTCCCTTCCTCTTTGAAATCAATAAAAATATATTTTAAAAAAGTAAAAAGACACATAATATCATGAGTCCCCTTAACTGCCTTGGGCTTCATAATCCACTCTCTAAACTGTCCCAAAGAGACATTTGAATGAACTGTAACTGCAGAGAGGCTGTCTGGCCAGCTCCATGCAGGTACTTACAGATGTGCTGGCTGTAACCTGTGGGCTGGAGCTGGTGGACGCAGAGGTGTCTGATGAGGTGGAGAGCTGTCGCACCAAAGGACTGTGCGGTGAATGGTGGGAGGCTGCCAAGTAGCTTGAACTGCTCAAGTCTGTGTGATGCTTCAACACTGCAGAGGTCAACAGAAAGAGGACTATGCGGCTACCTCTACCAGCTCTGCTTGTAATTCCCAGCAAAGGCTAGGAATTCCAGCAATCCACAGTAAAGGTAAAACGCTTTCTTCCTAAGCCTGGAGGATAAAAAAGTGAAGCAAACTGGCAAGGGGCTGGGCAGAGGTTGCGGCAGCAGTAAGAAGTGGCCTGCATTTAGAAGCAGTAGGGTCCCTCTACTCTGCCTTCCTGGAGTGAAGGACAAAGCTGGGGGCAATTAGGAGAAGCGCAAGCTGCCCCAGAAAGCCCCGAGCAGGTGCAAATGCAGGTAGAGGTGCCGGGCCTGGCCCTACCTTCACTTCTCTCAGATGAATGGTCTCGCAATCTCATTTTGCTGTGGTTTGGGTCATGCACAAGTGGTGGTGGGTTGGGCAAGCGCTCTGCTTTTGGCGCTGTCACTCGCTCCACCACAGGCACAGACCCCACATCGTCTAAGTGCTGCCTGTGGGTCCTGTCAGGCCGGGTTTGGTGTTGGGACAGCTCTGAAGAGGGGAACAGAAAAAGAGCTGTGAAATATCTTCTCTAAACCTTATTAAAGTTCCGAGCTCTTGAGCTCTCTCTAGGTTAATGACAGACACCTGGGGCAGCAGGACAGTCCTCTGGGGCTGATGCTTCTAGCAAATAGCAAAATGGGTAGGGAGCCCATGGGGTCCTCAATCAGAGAAATGTGACACCAGGCTACAGAAGACAGCCTGTTCACAGATGGACCCAATGTTGTGCCACTGATGGCTGTTCACTGAGCATTCTGGGTCCATCTGAAAAAATCCAAGACAAGTAGAAGTAGACTGTAAGCTGACTTTGTATAGTTAATTCCCAAACCCAACATACTGCCATAGCAAACCAGTAACATGAGACTCTAAAAGGAATAGAAAAATAACTAGAGGACTCCCTGGTCCCCTGAAACTTACTGGCTGTTGTTAGGAAGGAGTTGACCAACTTGTGCCTGTCTTTACGAGTTGGATCTGGCAGACTGCCTGGTATGGGTGTTCTGTGCTTAAATGAAAATTTTTTGGGAGGTTTGATTTTGTCAAAAGGTTTATTCTGCCACTGAGATTTCAGCATGCTCTGGAAGTGCAGGCTTGTGGGAACATCTGCAAGAAACACAAAACACCTACAGGTTAGTCCAAACACCTGGCCTCTGGTGTCCTATCTCACGAAGTGAGGTAAGTACACCAGTAACTCTGGCTCTCCCAGTAGGCAAGATCTGCATCACACCCTTCTTTTGTTGTTTTAATATTCACCCCACAATATTCTTTCCATTGATTTCTAGAGAGGGGAAGAGTGGACACAATGAATGGTTGCTTCCTGCATGTGGTCCAAGGCAAGGGATCCAACCCAAAATCCTTGGGTGCACAGGACAATGCCCCAACCAATTGAGCCACAACAACCAGAGCAACATCGCACCATTCTTTATTTGCCCAATGGCATGATGACCCGGCAGGACAAGCACTACCATATTGAATGGGTCGCCAACCTTTTGGACCTCATAGGCCTCCAGTTTGGAGACCGCTATTCCAAAGGTTTCCTTAAACCAGCAGTCACCAACCTTTCGGACCTCAAAGACCACTAGTGGTCTGTGGACCACCGGTTGGTGACCGCTGATATTGAATATCTCTTTATCTGAATCTTATTGAAGGTCATTCTCTTAGTTACAAGCAAGTCACTTTGGCCTTTTTTATTCTCCAAGTTCAACACCAAAATACACCTAAAACACCTTTTGTTAAATTGATGGAGTTTTCTGTTCATATTCTGATAAATTTAACTTTATTGATTCAAAAGACTGATAAACACCCTATTTCTATTCTTCTAGAGACTAAAATATTCAAACCTACTTTCATCAATATAGAGTTATCAGGATATAAGCATCCCATACCTACTCTCTCCTATGTAGCAGGCACTGAGGGTACACTATATCTTCCCCCCTTCCTTCTAGAGCCCCACTGCCCCAAATTGAGATTATCTGGGTTTTTTAACTGATTAGTTAATATTCAACATCACAAATTAATCTTTTTAGACTTATCTCAGACTGTTAAGGCTTTACACCATTGTATTCTAACATCCAGTGTTGCATATAAGACAAACTGATTCTTATTCACTTGTAGGTGATCTGTTCCCCTCTTTTAAGCTTTGAAAAAACAAGCAAACAAAAAAAGCTTGTTGTGGCATTAAACTGATTCTAATAGGTCAATGTGGAGAGAACTGCCATCAATACTAAGTCTTTGAATCCATGAACATAGTATCTCTCCATATTTTGAGGTTTTAATTTTCTCTCAGCAATGTTTGTCAGTTTTCAATGTATAGATCATATTTACATTTTATTAAGTTTATTAAGTATTTTGTGTATTTTATAACACTTTAAAAAATTTCAACTTTTAATTGTTCATTGGTAGTATAATACAGTATTTTTTTTTCTCTGAAACCGGTTTGGCTCAGTGGATAGAGCATTGGTCTGCAGACTGAAAGGTCCCAGGTTTGATTCTGGTCAAGGGCATGTACATTAGTTGCGGGCACATCCCCAGTAGGGGGTGTGCAAGAGGCAGCTGGTCGAGGTTTTTCTCTCTCATCGATGTTTCTAGCTCTCTATTCCTCTCCCTTCCTCTCTGTAAAAAATCAATAAAATATATTTAAAAAAAGAAGAAGCACTAAAAAGAGAAAGGACGACTTAAAAAAAAAATAATACAGTAATTTTTAAGATATACTAACCTTATTTTCTGTGATCTTTCTAAGCTCATTACTAATAGCTTTTCATTGTTGTAGATTCCTTAGGATTTTCTACACACACAAATAGAGGCTGTTTCTACTTCTTTTCAATCTATATGCCTTTCATTTCTATTTCTTGCCCTATTGTTCTGGTTAGATTCCTCTAGTGGCAATCTGAAACTCAGATTTTCCTTTTTGTAATATCAATATGCTGAAATTTCACCACAATAGACATAGGTGTGGGTTTTTGTTTTGTTTTTTTTCAGAGTTCTGAAAAGCTTCCCAAGGTTCTTTTAAATCTGAAGACGAGCACATTTCTCTTTAGTTTCAGTTCCTCCTGGGAACCATTAAACACCTGGGACATACTCAAAAGTTCTAGCTTGAGTCCATACCACTTCTGCAGCATAGAATGATGGCAATAGGCAGTGATGGAGCAGAGGCACAAGAAGGGAAAATCCAACTTAGCTATTCCAAAACAAATTCAAATTCAGCACCCAGGCAAGTGCCAGGTCTAATCCCTGCTTGTGTCCTTCTTTGTTAGCAACCCCCCCCCCCAAAAAAAAAACAAAAACAACCTTCCTGTAACAGCTCCTACACCACCGTTACCCTGTTTTCCATTATTCAAAAATTCATTCTAAACTCTAGTCACTGATGGCCTGACTTCTTTTTTCAGCACTATTACAAACATACTCTACTTAATGTATTTTCTAAACATACGAGAGAGGGAGGGTAGAATATGTGTTCAATATAAACTAGGATTGAGTGGGAGGGCAAAAAAAGAGGAATAAATAGATCATTTACTGAACCCATTACTAGGTGGCTAGCATTGTGTTTATTATACCATTCAATCTTCCTAACAATTCCATGATGTAATCATCATTATGCTCCTTTTAAAGATTAAAAAAAACAAAACAGGTTCAGAGAGGTGAATTAACTGTATCAGGTTACACTGTTTAGTTAGTAAGAACCAACATTCAAAGTCAGGTTTGCACAATCTTAAAACCCATACTCTTAGCCACTACACCTAAGATTATTCTTTGGCTCAAAGAATGGAGAGGTTTAACTCTCAGGTGAAGACTGATGTTTCTCAAACTATTCCTAAGGAACTGGGGCGTACAGGGTATTTTTCAAGGGAGTTCTGCAGTTTTAAAGAATTTTACCCCTCTTTCCTATAGTATAAACCATGGATTTCATGATATTTCAAAAACCTAGTTTGAACACTAACTAGATTTTTCAGGACTAGAATGAATACTAAATAGAGTATTTCCACCTGGCTGGTGTGGCTCACTGGTTGAACATCAACCCAGGAACCAAGAGGTCGCCTGTTTGTTTCCCAGTCAAGCCCGGGTTGTTGGCTCAATCCCATGGGGTAGTGCAGGAGGCAGCCAATCAATGACTTCCTTTCTCATCGATGTTTCTATCTACCACTCATCTTTCCTCTCTGAAATCAATAGAAATATACTTAAAAAAATAATATTTCCATTTTCAGGGACGATGTCCCTAATGGGCAAGCAGTCTTAGGAACAGACATTATTTTCTAGTTCTGAGAATAGAACGCTGGCCCTTAGGAAATAAAGCATTGTCTAGAGGCATTCTGAAAGCTGGGCCAAGCTGGAACATACACAGGTATACAAAAGGAGAAAAAACCCTTCCCTTTATATCCCAGATACCCCTTTGTCACCAGAAGAGTTATTCCCACTTGGCAAAGGCTATATAATGGGACTACAAAACCATAGTGATTTAAATTTTTCCTTTTATTTTTCTCCATTACTACTCTCCCAAAACTGAAAGTTTAGCCAGGGGGAAAAGGAGACATTGAAAAAAAGCAATGGACTGGAAGTAGACCTGGATTCAGATCCCAGTACCATCACTGAATAGGAGGAAAAAACAAGAACAAGTAAACTTAACCGGGCATTACCCTCTCCATCTGTAAATGAGGCAGCAGGCCTAGAGCTAGGATTGGTAACCTAGCTCTCCCCTCCTCTGTCTTCTGGAACATAGGCTAAGCAATCACAGTTTCTGCTGAACCCCAAGACCTCAAACTCTTCTTAAAAAATTAAATCCAGCCAACCACTATCAAACAATTCGAGTAAGCACAAGGGAGGACATCCTTGGAGTTGAGGTAATAAATAGAAAAACTCCTCCTACAAACCACTGAATAAGCAGTTAGGGATAATAATGAAGTACTAGTATTTAGGAAACTTAGGCAGCTATACTTTGCTAGAAGTATTTTGTGTTTTAAGTGCTTTCATATAAAAGAAAACAGGCAAACCCTCCAGTCAGTGAACAAAAATGATCTCTTAGGAATTACTGATGTGAACTTATGCTCTACCTGAAGAAATTAAACCTAGGATCCACGTAGAGCTAAACCTATGGAATAGACTGGATATAGAGAAGCTGAAAGTAAGTGAAGAAAAATATATAAAATGGAAGAAAAAAATGATAGGGACCCATTCAGTTAGAGCAGAGATTGGCAAACTCATTAGTCTACAGAGCCAAATTCAACAGTACGACGATTGAATTTTCTTTTGAGAGCCAAATTTTTTAAACTTAAACTTCTTCTAATGCCACTTCTTCAAAATAGACTTACCCAGGCAGTTGTATTTTGTGGAAGAGCCACACTCAAGGGGCCAAAGAGCCGCATGTGGCTCGAGAGCTGCAGTTTGCTGACCACAGAGCTAGAGGATTTCATACATTCTATACCCTCACAGGCAACGGCATTAAAGTGATATTAGAGAATAAAGATTGCGTTACTTGATCAGGTCAGTAACAAGAAAACAGAAGTGATTACAAATATCTTGTTACTATTTCTGCAAACAAAATGAAAAGACCCTGACTACAGGCTCACCAGGGTTGATTAATTTGACGGTTTTGCTCATACTCTTCCACCATTTTCTCAAAACACACTTTCTAGGGTTGTTTTGCAATGCTCACTTTCTCCTCCTGCTGGCAAGTTGTGGTAGCCTCCTATACAGCTACCGTAGTTGTCTTGGCAAGCTCTCTCAAAACACAGATCATGGCCAGCAGGTGGTGCTCTTATTAAACCCAAATCTAACATTGTTTTCCCCAAGGTTATATATCCTCTGTATTTCAAGCTAAAGATTAACCCGGATTCATTAAGGTGGTAAGGAAACAAGCCCCTCCTTCTGGAACACTAAAAGGTGATTACAACCTAATGCCTCCACATTCCTGCCGGGTTTACAGTTCCTCAAATTCTATCATCTCTAGCCACACTTTCTGGGAGTGAATGAAGTCAAGATGGGGGAGAGAACTAGTATTGGTTCCTATCCTCACAAACTACACAACTGGTTCTACTTAAAAATGAAGAGGTTGCAAAAAGGTGACCCTGATGCACATCTGACCCACACTATTATTCTGGCTGCTAGTCTTCACTGTTATTAATTATTCTACGCAATGATACACAGAGAATCTTAATACGTTAAGATTCACATAGGATGGAGTCCTGTGGACTTCTGGCCCTGCAAATCTTCCAGTTTACAAATAGATTGCATTCTGAATGTGGGAGTTGTTAGGACAAAGCAAAATTACCAGAATAAGAACAGTATTAATATGGTATCTAGGACTCCAGGTCAACTCACATTAAGTCTAATTTATCCATAGACAACGATGTTCATCCATCCAACTTGGTATAATAAAAGATACATAAGTATTCTCCTTTCTATGAATTCTCTTCAAATAAGGAGAATTTAATGCTCATTTCTTGTTCAAACCCCAGTGTCATGGCTAGGAACTCTGTGTGTATATAAGACAAGAGAGACAAAGGGAGAAATAATAGAGGCAGACAGGAAAATGATCTTTCCTTCTCTCTCCCTTATTGCTACCTCTAGTTGCTTGTAATGGGATGGAAGTATTAAGGGCAGTGGTTAGATCCATAGATATGATGCAATCAGAAGGACAGTTAATAGGGAACTATTAGCTATTCGATTCCAGCAAGGGCACATGGAGGAGACAACTCATAACTGTGCATGGTAATACTGTTGTCAAAGGAATGCTCAACCATGTTTATCAGTTGATATTCAATGAGTATGAAGAGGCCTTATGAAAATCAGAATGTAACTACCAGTATAGGCTTCAGATTTCTTTTTCAAATATGAGACTATACAATTCAACATGGTAATCCTGAGAGAGTAACTAATGTGAGAACTTTTCCTAAGTCTTCCTGGTGGCTTCATCTGCACTCAAGTGTGTGGAATCGAGTAGAAACCTGACTTCTCTTAATAACCTGGCTGGGGAAGAACACAGAATAGAGAAAAATGAAGGTCAGGCATCAGATGACCCGAGTCTGAATTCTACAGCCATCTAAAGTCTTTAGCCATTTAGCCTGAGATAAAACTACTACCTCTCTAAACCTATTTCTTAACCTGGAAAGCTGAAAGCAACACCTTACAAGATTACTGGGAGAAGCAATTAAGGCAAGTTGTGAGAAAAGTGCTTTTTAAACCACAAGATGCTAAACAAATAGCTAGTATATGATAACCCAAATGGCAAGAGAAGGTAGAAGTTAATGACCCTGAAATTTGAAGCAGAGGAAAATATTTTAGTGTCTTCAATTTTCATTCTGTTTTAAGCTAATTTACAGCTCTACCATTCCTGACCTAAACCCCTGCCTAGCTTACTATTCATGTGTTCCAAGTTTTCTAAGTATTTCTACTCTTGCTAAAAGTAAATGGCAGCAAGATTATTATACCATGTCCTTTCTTTAGTCAAAAAGAGTTTTGATAACAAGTCAGGGAGTAGTTATAGAATTTAGGTGGTTAAGAAAGAATTCAGCCCTCATCGGTTTGGCTCAGTGAATAGAGCATCACCCCACGAACTGAAGGGCCATGGGTTCAATTCTAGTCAAGGGCACATACCTCAATTGCAGGCTTGATCTCCAGCCCCAGTCAGTCAGGCAGGTGCAGGAGGCAACCAATTGATGTGTGTCTCACATAGATGTGTCTAACATCATCAATGTTCTCTCTCTCTCTCCCACTCTTTCTAAAAATCAATGGAAAAAAATGTCCTCAGATGAGGATTAACAAAATAAACAAAAGAATTCAATAATTTAAAGAACAAACATCAGTAATGATTTTTTAGAAAATGTTTTTACTGATTTTAGAGAAGAGGGGGGAGGCAGAGAGAGAAGGGGAGAGAGAGACATCAATCAGTTGCCTTTCATATGCACCCCAACCAGGGATTGACCCCTTAACCTTTTGGTGCACAGGATGACAATCACCAACTGAGCCACACTGGCCAGGGTCTATTAATGATTTTTTTAAAAACCTATTTTTACTGATTAAGGAAAGGAGAGGGAGAGAGAAACATCAATGATGAGACTTCTGGCCCTGCAAATCTTCCAGATGAGAACCACTGATTGGTGCCTCCTGTATGCCCTCCACTGGGGACCGAGCCCGCAATCCAAGCATGTGCCCTTAATTGGAATTGAATCTGGGACACAAACCAACACTTTATCCAATGAGCCAAACCAGCTAGGGCACTGATTATTTTTATAAATAAAGTTTTATTATAACACAGCCACACCATTTGTTTACATATTATCTATGGCTGCTTTTGTGCTATTATGGCAGAGTTGTGTAGTTGCATAGACTAAACATAGTACGGTTCAAAACATCTAAATTACTGAGCACCTTTTTTAAGAAAAAGTTTATATACCATCAAGCTAAAACATTTTTTTTTCTCCTACAAACAAGTAAACCTTACATCCCACCTAATTTTCATTCCTCAGAGTCCTATTTCAGTTATCTTTTAAGTATTCCTATCTCAATTACCCTCCTTGAAAAAAAATGCACAGACTATCTGTGAGGTGTTATAAAGGACAGAAGATGAGGGAAAACATGAGTCCTTACCCTCAGGAAGCTTATAATTTTAGTAATGAAATGTAAATTTAAGAACAGACATAACGTAACAGATAAAATACCAGTGATCTGAAAGGAAATGCTTATAGCTATAGGTTGGAGCCAGATCCTGAGATTATTTGAAAATGAATGAAATAATCCAGATTAAAAACCACTGGGTTCTTGCAGGCAATATCTAGAGCAATGGTTTTAACATTTTTGCTCATAGACTTGCACCACATGAAATGCTATTTTTAAAAAATCATAAACTCAGAAATATTTTAATCAACACCTTGACATATAACTGTATTTAATTTAATTAGCTGAAGGAAAAGTCTTTCTTTTAAACCTTAATCAATCAGACTTTTAGAAGTTAGAATAAAGTCTAACTTCAGTTAGTCTCTTAATATTTAGTCTAAGATGACAAACACCGAATCTATACAAAATAAGGTAACTCCATCTTCATTAATTTTTTTACTTAATTCCCACAGGATTCTCTTTCAGGAGCCATGAATTCTTGGAAATGGTCCCTTTGGTGTCCCTACTGCCTAAAGTTTTTATACTCTGGGGCAAGACCCACATTGAGACTTAATATGAAAAAACAAACAAACAAACAAACAAAACACCAAAAAACAGAAGAGACTCAATATGGGTAAGAGGAATAATTTTCTTTTGTGAAATGGGAGAAAAACAATTATGAAAAGGAAAACTGGCAAGCACAGAGGCTTATCAGGTAGGTTAGTCTTAGAAAAATAGTACATGGTAACAATGAAGATCTATGCTCATGTACACCTTGGAAAGCCATCATGTAACTACATATACCCCGAATATGAAGACACTCTCTTAGAATAGTGCTGCCCACCCTATTTTACATCACGGGCACATAGGCAATACATTTTTAAAGATATGCAGGGATATAACAGACCACTTCACTTGTGGCTGAAGGCAACTGTCCTTAGCCACGCCTAGTCATTTGAAATGCTGGGAGAAATCTTTCTCTTAGCAAATCTGATGGACGTATTGCATCCTATCTGTAAAATTTCTGAGAAGACTGTTGACAGATAGCAATACAATCATAATATCTGAGTTGTACCAAGATCTCAGATGACTTCCTTTCATTTTCAACCCTTTAAGTCTCATTTATTAGATTACTAGTGGCCTGATGAACGAAATTTGTGCGAGGGTGGGGGTTGGGGGTATTGTGTCTCTTAGTCCAATACTCCCAACTTGGGATCCCTTTCACCTTCTGGGATTGCTGGTTCCTAACCGCTCACCTGCTTGCCTACCTGATTCTCCCTAACTGCTCCCCTTGCCGGCCCAAGTGCCCACAACTGCCCTCCCCTGCCATCCTGATGGCCTACAACTGCCCACTCCTGCTGTGACCCATCTAATCCGTGCAAGGCGGTGGAGATGCCGGGACTGGCCTTTCCTGCACTGTGCGGAGCCATAGGACCCCCAGGCCTCACCATGCATAGCGGCTGCTGGGTACCACCTCCACTGTGCACGTGGCCATCTTGTGATGGAGTCTCACACGAGGACCACCTAGGCTTTTATTAGTATAGATAGATATTCTGTGTCCTTTCTTACCATCTGGAAATGCCAGAACTGGGTGAACACAAGAGTCCAATTGGGAAAGGCGTTCCAACAGAGGGGCTTCGTAGTGGATTTCTGGAGGCATGGTATTGGCACTGCCTGAGCCACACAGCGCACAGAAGGGATTCACATCACAGCCAGAGCGCATCGGGCTACTGCGATGAACCTGTGAAGAGCCAGGTAAAGGGACAATTAAGTGTCTGATTAAAAACCCGGCTCCCCACTCATTACACCAACGATTTAAAAGGCTCTTTCTAGAAACCTATATGACACAGATAAAAGTTTGATTAGTTTGTTAACATTTCCATTTCTCCAACACATGAACCTTCAAAGACATTAAGTATTTAGGTTTTTGAAGCCCTAAATACTTACCTGGTATCAAACTTGTTATACTTTAAAGCTATTGAAACTGCTTTCTAAGAACACTTTATAAAACCTACAGGTTTTTCTACCACCTTCATGGTTCTCAACCCTCTGCTAAAGTGAATAGTGGGCTCCTGATTCTCTGGTAGGACATGACTTGCTCTGCCAGCAACTTAATCTACCTAAGAACTTTATTTTATTTATTTTTAAAATATATTTTATTGATTTTTTACAGAGAGGAAAAGAGAGGGATAGAGAGTTAGAAACATCAATGAGAGAGAATCATCGATCAGTTGCTTCTTGCACATCTCTTACGGGGGATGTGCCCGCAACCAAGGTATTTGCCTCTGACCGAAATCGAACCCAGGACCCTTCAGTGAGCAGGCCAACGCTCTATCCACTGAGCCAAACAGGTTTCGGCAGAACTTTAATAATCAATGACACCTGACATCTTTCTAAAAAGATTTTCATGTGGTTTCAAATGAGGTGGCAAGTTTTCCTGGACTGCATGGAACTCATTAGCTACACTTTAGAGTAAGACTATTACTTGCCAAATCATGACCATCCTCCACTCCCAGTCCCCAAATTAACTGGCAGCACAGTCCTAGAAAAAACTTGCCTGTGGAATGGCACCTATGAGAGGGGATGCTAGGAACAAGGTTGATATTATAATCTATCTATATAAAAAGCAAGTGGCTGTTATGACCAGGACCACCAAATGACCTATCGGGCTCTCACAGCGTGGTGGGGCGGGGCCACAGGAGCTGAAGAGCCTCATGGAGTGGGGGCTGTAAGCATGGAGCTTCACGGGACAGCCGAGGTGGAGGAATGTCACAACACGGGGTGGCTAAGGCCAAGGAGCTCCATGGGGCAGGGGCTGTTAATGTGAACCTTCATGGGGTGGCTGAGGCAGAGGAGCATCGTGGGCGTGGAGCGTCTTGGGGGTGGGCAGTTAGCATGGAGCATCTTGGGGCAGGGGCCATGGAGGTGGAGGAGTGACAATAGTTAGCGGACAAGGCCCTGACTGCAGTTAGGCCTAGGGACCCTAACCGTGCATGATTTTGTGCACTGGGCCTCTAGTAAAGACAGAAAAGTTGCATCAAAAATCTGTTATCAAAAATTCTGTAACAACTGCCAAGAGCTAAATTTAGTTTTAGCATTAATATCTCTTTAAAGCTATTTATCTTTATGGTCATGTATAAGAGAAAGATACATATATGCTCTTTATCAGCATTCCTCAAATGCCTACTTTTGGCAACCACATAGATAGATGGCATGCAAAGAAGGTTCTGTGAAGATTAGTTGTATGACTTGGTAAGTTATATGGCCTCCTCAAATGTATTCACTACCTATTTATATAAAAGCCTAATATGCAAATTGTTCCCACAGAAGTTTGACCGGGAGTTAGATCACTCACTATGATATGTGCTGACTGACCACCAGGGGGGGCATGGAATGAAGAGAGGTCCCAGCCAGCAGCCAGAAGGCCAAGATTGACCCCAATCACCAGCCAGGCCTAGGAACCCTACCCCATATGAGAAGTTCATGCACTGGGCCTCTAGTCTGTTAATAAAGGTCCAACAATATCAATTTCATAAATTGTGGTAAAGGTTATATGATTTCATAAATTGTTAAAAAGCCCATAAATGCTAGCTAAACTAGTATATGGCAAGATTTCTCCAAAACAGCACCTAATGGTATTTTGGGTTGCATAATTCTTTTTTGTAAGGGCTGTCCTTTGCACTGCAGATAAGTAGCAGCATTCCTGGCCTCTGCCCCTGGTGCAAGTAGCACTCTCCGCCCTCCCCTGTGTGACAATCAAAAATGACTACAGACACTGCTAAATGTTTCCTGGGAAAGCAAAATTGTTGAGAACCACAAGGCTCAAATTATGGCCAGGCCACCTAGAAAAATTCAAAGTGTGGGCTCCTATTAAATATTAATAGTGAAAAAGAAAGCTTTCAAGATTATTGCAGCCAGGAAGGGATCCAAGATGGCGGTGTAGGTGGGCATCTAAACTGTTGCCAGGCACAACAATTACAAAACTACAACTAAAATACAAACGTCTATCACCCAGAACCATGGGAAAACTGGCTGAATGGAAATTCTACAACTAGACTGAGAAAGAGAAGAGCATTCAGGGTACAAGCACTGAAAAACTAAGGTACGGGGGCGGGGGGGGGGGGGGTGGAGGGTGGGTGCGGCATGTGCCATATGGCTGGCCGTGGATCCCGGCTGGATGTGGGCGTTGCTTTCTTCAACCCTAAGAGAGACAAGCTCCCAAACTCTATGAGGTCCAGTTTCTGGAGAGAAGCTAGACTGTCTGCCATTGGGTCAGAAAGTGAGGGTAGTTGCTTGCAGAGCTGCACGCAAGAATAATTGTTTGCTGTGCAGGGGCGTGAGACACGGGACGTGGGCAGAGAGGCAGAGGCGGTTGGTGGGCAGCCATCGCTGTTGGCCATGCCCTAGCCTAGTGATTCCCTGAGACTCTGCCCCAAGACTCTGTCCTGCACAATCTACAAACAAACCCAAGCTCCAAGCAGAGGCTTTTGCATATGAATGGCCTTCTCTAGTGCAGTTTAACCCAGCAAACTTGAAACCTGGTGCAGACAACTCCAAAGCCTCCTGTCAGCTGATTTCTCAACAGAAACTATGCAGGCCAGAAGGGAGTGGCAAGAAATATTCAAAGTGATGAACTGCAAGAACCTACAACCAAGATTACTCTACCCAACAAAGCTATCATTCAGAATTGAAGGTCAGATAAAGAGCTTCACAGAAAAAAAAAAAGTTAAAGGAGTTCATCACCACCAAATCAGGATTACATAAAATGCTGAAGGGTATTCTTTAAGAAGAGAAAGAAGAAGAAAAAGGTAAGGATGAAAATTATGAACAACAAAAAGACATCAAATACATACCTACCAAGTAAATCTAAAAATCAATAAATTTCACATAAGGTACAAAAGAAGAAAAAATAAGAGAACTGGCAGATAGTTTAATAGGAAGAGGAGAAATTAAGAAAGAGAGGGAGGGAAAAAAATCACAGTAAAATACAGAACACAATGTAAAGGACTTGCAGGGCACTGTGACAAAGCACAATGTACTTGTTATTGGCAACCCAGACAGAGAAGACAGAATGAGGGGAAAATAGTATTTGAAGAGATAATGGCCCAATTTGTACTAAAACTAATTAAAGACACAAACCCACAGACTTAAAACTGCAAAACCCAAGCAGAACAGAAATGCAAAGAAAATCACATCTAAGCATATCATAAAAGTGTTTAAATCATTAAGAAAAAATGAGATAGCCGAAACCGGTTTGGCTCAGTGGTAGAGCGTCGGCCTGCGGACTGAAAGGTCCCAGGTTCGATTCCGGTCAAGGGCATGTACCTTGGTTGCGGGCACATCACCAGTGGGAGGTGTGCAAGAGGCAGCCGGTCGATGTTTCTCTCTCATTGACGTTTCTAGCTCTCTATCTCTCTCCCTTCCTCTCTGTAAAAAATCAATAAAATATATTTAAAAAAAAAAAAAAAAAAGAAAAAGAAAAAATGAGATAAAGGGGAAACCTATAAAATTATATTTAACAGACTCACTGGAATGTATGGACCGTATCTGAACCTAGATTCAAACAAACTTTAAAAATCATTTTAAGAGAATCTTGGCCATCAGAATAGTCTCTGATAAAAGTAGAAAATTACTGTTAAAACTAAAAGTGTTACTGGTGGTAATAATCACCCATAACACTGGAGATGGTACTGATTCAATCTTAATATGGCCTCAACTTGCAATATACAAAACTAACAATAGTAGACTCTTTTGTTTTTTAGAAACAAGGAAGTAGCTGATAATGCAATCAAAGGAACTTAGATGAGAATGGAATCAGAAAAGATTTTGAAATTTGTGCCAAAATTCTCATGGCTCACCTGATATATATAACAGTGAAAAATAAACTGTGGAATGGTTAAACACACTGTAGCATCACTTCATATGCAGCATCTAAAATGCCAAGTACTGTGCCTGTTTGGTTCAGTGAACAGAGTCGGCCTGTGGCCTGGAGGGTCCCAGGTTCAAATCCAGTCAAGGGCACATGCCCAAGTTGTGGGCTCAATCCCCAGGGGGCATGCAGTAGGTATCCAATCAATGATTTTCTCAACATTGATGTTTCTATCTCTCCCTCTCCCTTCCTCTCTGAAATTAAAAATATATATATTTAAAAAATAAAAAATACCAAGTACTAATATTTAAAAATATATATATGCAACTCAAAAATCTAAAGTATATACACACAGCAATGAAAACAAATGTAAGTGTATAAAATATTGATAGGAAATGTGCAATTTGATCTTATTAGTTTATTTTTCTATAAAATTACGACTATTTTTTAACCTAAAATCGGATCAGTAACTAAGTCAATGTTGCAAGTATATCATATTTACTTTATAATATCTGCATGTAGTCATAATTTAAGAATGAGATTTTAAAAAATGAAAAAATGTTAATAGGTAAAAGTTTCATTTCTAACTTATTTCAGTATTGCCAAGTGTTCAAGTATCGCCTACAAAGACATTACAGAGCAGAAAGCAGGTGTCCTAAAATGTTTCTCTTGGAATTCTACTAATTCATGAGCATATTTAATAGGTATTACTTTACAAAGGTTCCCTTGTTAAATAAGTTAGGGAAACAAATCGAAGCATTTCTTCTTTTTAACAAAAGACTTTTAGATCTTTAACATCTTTCATGAATCTTTGAAGTGCTCTCCAAATTAATTCACCCATCACACTCCACAAAAGTGTTTGAGGTCCTGAA